AACGCGGCGATTTTACTAGTAAGGTTACCCCGGAGGCGTTTTAGTACTAGTAAGGTGGTGAATAGCTTACTAGGCGATAATATATTTCCCCTTTCTTAGTACGTCCACCGAGCTTATACTAGTACGGCGGGTATACGCTAGTTAGTAAATATAATTAGGCGGTATGGCTAGTAAACTATTACTAGGGCCTTACCTAGTAAAGTCCCGTGGTTATATAGCTAGTAAACTATTACTAGGACTTTACCTAGTAAAATTCCCGTAATCGTGTGGCTAGTAAACTATTCGAGTTATTCTGACTAGTAAACCAGGGTTAAGATATTAACTAGTAATATCCCCCTACCTACTTCGAATGTACGATTTAGGCGCTAGTACTAGTAAATTAGCGTTAGCCGTTTAACTAGTAAAAGTCCTTGCGCCGTTATACTAGTAAAAAATATATACTAGCTCGATTAGTAAAGTGTCGTATAGCGGACTAGTAAGTCGAGTTTGTTATACGTGGTAAACCCTAATAAGGGTACGTACCGGTAAAGGTTCGATTATTTTACTAGTCAGAGCTTATAAGAGTTTTTACTACTAAACTCGCTTATATTATAGATCCGTTAGGATTTAATCAGGTCTTTGCCGACCCGCTAAAACAGTTTACTGTCTAAATGGTATATATCTAGACGCGCAAGGCAAGGGCATGCAGTGCCTAATTTGCTAGATGTCAACTTCACTCGAATTTACTGCCAATACCTTCCGTACCTGGCTCCTTATATTATTGCCCTAGGCTGTGCCTATTTCCTAGTAAATTTGGCTGGCTCTCAGCTACACATCAAGCAGACGGATGTTGGCACTAGCCGGTGGTATGGTTCGGGGTTTTGTTTACTTTGGACGGCCGCCGCAGGCCTCTGATATCGCCTCCTATCCGTTAGCCCCTGAACTCTTACTCCCCATAACATCACTCCTAACTCGCGATCATGGAGAGGGATAAACTTCCGCTTTCTCGGGGCGTAGGAGAACAGCCTAACCTGATACTAAGATTCTGGACGGCGAGTCTAGCCATATACCAGAGTATCGGATTTACCGTCTTCCCTTAGATCCTGATACTGGCACGGTTATGCATAAACTACCCTACGTAAGGCGAATTTGTGGCCCGACTCTGGGAGTTCTTAATAGTGGGACTTCGACGCTGACGAGTTACTACGACCGGGTCTGGAAAGAGCAGTCTCGTATAGCTATGAACCAGATGAAGAGGAATGAAGGGACTGGCCTTCATTGTTCTACCTACACTTCGTCTCTTATCTCCATAATCTCCAGGGTTTCTCTCCAGTACACAAAACGTCACTCTGTCGAAACTCGCGCTCTCTTAGGAGGCCGCTCTGGTCATCCCTTATCTCAGCCTGCTGATCCGGCAGACTTGGGTACGGACGAGCGCTCTCTTGCGAGGCGTACCCTGGTTCTCCCTTAGCTTAGCGTGCTAACCCCGCAGATTTCGAGCGTAGACGAGCGTAATCTTAACTAGATCTTCTCGGACTTCCTTAATATAAGCTAGTCGTAATCGCACGTATCTATCTATACCCGCCGTTATTATCCCGCCTTTTTTTCCACTTACTTATAACCCACTCCTCCAGAGTAGCCTAGCGTCGAGCGTACTATTCGGTAAGCTCCCGTAATCTAAGGATCCGGGAGCGGTCCCCGAAGACGGTCGCCGAAGCTAACCCTCCACCCTTAAAACGGGAGAATCATCTTAGGCGGTAGGCTATAGCTTAAAGACGCCCTATCGTGATTGGTTCGGAAAGATAGACAGGACTATCTAACGCTCTAACACCGCCGTAGTAGTGGGTGCAGAGCCACTACTACACGAGGACCCTTATGACAGCTCATCATCGGCCCTTCCGTCCTTCCCATCGCGACCCAACGGAAATAATGTCCTGAAGAGGGAGAAGCGCCATGCAGGCTGTGGAGTCCGTGGCGCCACCACTACCGTGTAGTCTGACGCTCCCCTGGCCACAGACACCAGCACCTTCCGTTCCCATGAGTGTTATCGCCTTTCCCCCCTTGGAGCGACGGGGAGACCCAAGCGTCGTCAGCCAATATTCGTCCAGCGTTGGCGATGGGCTGATTCTCAGTGATGGCCGTTGTGTTCGTAAAAAACAAAGGATGTAAGTTTAGAACTCCTCTGGCTGTTGAGAGCAGCGAATTGGACATCGGAACAAATGCAAGTCGGCGTACGTTTATATCGAGCGTTTGCTGGTGCGCGCCCGATGCCGTATCCCAGAGCAGTACCGTCCCGTCAGAAGAAGCCGATGTTATTAGCGTGCCGTCGGGCGAGAAGGCGACGGCGTCGACCGGGCCGCTATGGCCCTCGAGCGTCTGAAGGCACGGGCTCCATGTCTCTTGCATAACAGGCTTCAATTTAATCCACTCTGGCAGCTCTGTTGTGTATAATTTTCTGACCTCGCTGCAAAAGGGACTAAAGACGAGGGCTGATACGTATACTTGCAGTGGAGCAACCCTAACTGCGGTTCGATGAGAGAGAATGAATCGTAGTGCGTCTGGGCGAGTGCTTTGACATTAATCGAGGCTGCGGTCTGCTGCATTCGTCAGCTCATACTCCCAGTAACTGATAAATGGCACGTACAGTAGTAATTGCTTGCAACTTGTGCATGGCTATCACCACCTCCGACATGCTGCGCGACAGACTAAGCGCTTCCAACCATTGAAGGAACTTGCTCCTGAGAAATGTATCAACGGATCCGCCTTCGGCCAGGTCGTTGTCAGCCTTCGTTAGGCGGGAAAATTCGTCCAGATGTTCGACCCAATAGATGCAGGCATAGCGAATGGAAGCTAACGGGTCGGGGTCTGGTGGGGTGATCTGGTCGTTAGATAATCCAGGGTCTCGAATATCATAAATGTCGCGCTGGAGAGTCTTTTGCAGCGCTTCGAGCGACCTAGAGAAGATGGCGTGGTGGCACTGTGCGATGCCTTGGGGCATGATCCTATCCAGGGCTATATTAAGAAGAAAATCCCTGGCTGATTGATGCACGAAATAGACGACGCCTTCTCGTAGAGTCAGGAAAGAGCCGCAGGATCCAATGATTTCCTCGACTTCGTCCTCATCGACATCCTCCATCGATTCGATGAGACCCTGTAGTTCCTTTGAGGTAACTGGACGGTACACGGCCGAGGCGATTGCCAGGACGTCCTTGCAAAGAGCTGCATCGTTTGACGTGAGTATGATTTAGCATTTTCTCGTACAGAGCATCCAGGCCGGGCGGAAACGAGTTCAGCATCTGCATCGTGTGTCGTTTTCGGACATTGGTATCGGCGAGCGCCTGACAGACTAAGGCGACCCAGAGAAAAGTCCCATCGGCATTGGCAACCAAGTAGCTTTGGACGGCGTCCCTCGTTCGTTCGTCGTACTTCTTCTTGGACACCAATTGCGCCATCTTGTACTGGATATAGAAGGTAACAGCACTGCTAATCGAGTTTCCGTTCAGCTCGAGGCTCAGCCTGACTTTTTGCGTAGCCTTCTCTAACTGCCTCTCAATATCTGGCCAGTTACGGCTCGAGATGATCCACTTGACGCGGGAGGTAGAGCTAGTGAAGCTAGTGATAAAGTGCAGGAGCTGAGGCCGGCCCGTCTCACACCCGTCAAGGGCGTCAATAATCAGGATCGCACGTTCTAACAACGCGTCGTTTAGCATAGCCGTCAATATACCCGTGAGGGCTTGCCAGGCGTTATCGTTGTGAAACAGCTCCTTGCCCACGTAATCATGCTTCTCTCGGACGTACGAGACGAGTTGCGGGTGCTGCCGAGCGAGGTCAAGGATCAGACCTCGTAGCACAGCCGTTGCGTTGTTGAGCCGGTTCGCGGTGGCCTGGCAGAAGAAGTAGGACAGTTGGTTCGAAGGCTCTTTCCCCAGCTCGTCGATGATACCGCACAAGCATCGTCTTGCCCTTGCCAGGATAGCCCTTGATCCAGAGCAGCTGACTATTGGGATCGTCTCGAAACTGCAGGAAGTCGGCGTGGTTAAGGACCCAGCGGTAAGCGTCCCTAAGGAGGCCGCCCTTGGTATCTTGGATACGCTTCTTGTCTTCGCGGGGATCGGTTACGTGAAGATCCTTCAGGCATTTCTCATTCTTATCGTCTTGGTTTCGACGGAAAGGCACGGTCCAATGGCCCGGCACGGCGCATGTCCGCCGGCTTATTGCTGACGGCGCGTTTTTGGCGAGCTCTTGAACGGCGGCCTTGACTAACTTGAAGTTTGAACTGTGCGGACCGTCGAACTTGTTCATTCCGGAATGTGTCGCGTTGAGACCATGACGAGGAAAGCCATGAAGGCATGCGGAAGACTCGCTGACGAGCTGACCATGTTAGCAAAAGGAGCAAGAACGGCAAGAGAAAGAACGAACTATCTTGCGTGTGAAGCGGGTTGAGAACTTGGCTGCCAGTCCTGACGACAGCACACGCCTGACTATTTCGGTCTTCTTCGTTTCGTAAAAGCAGTAGACGGGCAGGCGGATAGAATCGGCGTCTATGACTTCGGCGAACTTCTGCACTCGCTGGAGAACTAAATCGTGTTTCCGATCCAGGTCCTGCACCAGGCGGTCCGACGTATCCTCCCCCATGATGCCGCCGACGATCACCTGCCACTGGGCGTCCCGGCGGGCATCGGCGCCCTGGAAGGGGGTGGCGAGAAAGACGATGCCGGCGGTCGAATGAAGGACCTGGCGGTAGCGACTGCCCTCCTGGGCGGCTCGAGTCAAGGCCTCGGCCAGGACGAGCCCTCCGAAGCAAGACGCAACGAATATGACCGGCCGCTTCGAAACCGACTGGTTCTCTTTCGCGTGGGCAAGGAGGGAGTCGGCGTGGCCCAGGAGAGTCTGTACTGGCGCATCTTCGAAGTAGTTCGCATCCCAGTCGTATGTGAATATGCTGGCCTCGGGCACGGCCGCTGGTGCATTGTCTGGTCGGCGAGCCAATTGACCTCGCACCCGTCCTTTTTCTTGAACACCCACGTTCTCGGCGATTGCGTGCCGAGGCCGTGGATGGCGATAATGCTAGCAGGCGTCAGGCGGGGCGCATTCCCAAAGCTGTCCGTGGGCAGCCTAGCACTTACTCGATGGTGGAGGTATTGCTCGTATCGGGTGGCCACACTTGGCGGAGGCCCAAGCCACGCTCGTGGGTCCTGGTGGCCTGCGCGACGGGTTAATACGGACCGCGTGTGGGGAAGGGCTAGCATACCATAAGCTTGGGGGGACTCTAACTCTGCCTACGAGCTTCCTGGATTGCAAATAATAGAAATACTGAATGGCTCCAGCGAGGCATGGTAGGAACAGTCGAACGGGAGCTTGTTCTTAATGAGGGGAAGGTAATAATGCGTGGCCAAGCGCGTGCGGCTGGGTCTGGGGCTGCATTTCTGGTCCAATCGTTTCCCTATCGCCGCTTCGACGCAAGGCTCAACCAGGGGCAGAACGACAGCCCAATAGGCCGACATGCCACGACATCCTCTAGAGCCTGGCGGCGTTTCTGGGAATGCTCTCTCACCCTCCGTTGCCCAGCCCTCACGAAACTCGCACAGCACAGTTACTAGTTTCCGTACGGCAACTTGGCGCGGAGAAGAGTACTCGAATCGAGCTAAGCAGACTATTCCCTCTCGACGTGCCGATGCTCGCAGCAGCAAACGACACAAAACGGGCACGTGATGGACGCGCAACGGACCCGGATGACCCTTGCTCTCCGTCGTGCCGGGCTTGTCCCCCGTCGCCTTTCTCCGTTCGGCCACTCGACTATAACACCGATACCTCCGACGCGCCTCCGTTTAGAGGCGACGAGCTCCTGTCGCTGCTACCCGCGTCCTTCCGCACCAAGTCCGATGACCTCGTTGCGGCGAGGCGTGACGTCAGGGCCTGCGTCGAAAAGGAACTCGACCTGCGACGGCTGACCGATATTCTCGGCTGGCTGTGGATCGCCGGTCGGCCCATGCCGCCATGTCAGCTCCACCACCAGCTCTTGCTGTCGCGGGACGTCTTTGTCACGGAGCGCATCGACATGCATCTCGTGTGGACGACTGGTCGGATATTTCTCAAGCCTCTGCCGCGCTTCCTGCTCGAGCCGCGCTTCTGGACGTGCCATCTCTCGTGTGCCCACTCTTGTCATTGTCCCGCGGAAGATGGCAGCCCCGGGAGGCGCGCAGAAGACGCCCCAGGATCCCCGGAAGGTGTCTTGGAACACGTCCCGGAGTGTAAGCAAAAGCTCTGAAGTGCGCTCTTGGCTTCCTATTCTCGTACGCCGCGCTGGTTACCCACGAGGCCGACTTCTAGGAGGGCAAGGGCGGACTTTGGCGTGATAAAGAGGCATTGGATACGATTCGAGCCATCGCGTTGATCGCGGAAGAAGAAGTCCTGTGTATTGATTTGCTAATAAATCAGTATGTGTTTAGATGATTAGTGGCGACGATATACTCACCTCGTATAGCCACTGAATCGGGGTCCTGCCAGCAAGCTCGTCCCGGCGTGACGCGCCAGTAAGTTCATGATATCGGAGGTCGTTACTTCAAGGGCCTGTTTATTAGGTTCAGGATTTCGGAGCCTCATCACAATCTCGCGGGGCCGTATACCACTATTCCACATAGTAACGATCTCATCCTTGTGTGCCGCGAGCCCTTGCTTCCGAAACTGAGAAAAAGCACTCGCCTGGATCAGCTATGGTTATGTGAAGGTGCCTCGCCGCCGCGTTTGATAATAGCTTCAATAACCCAACCGCTATCACGACGACGTAGATTAACCTTGAAGGGGCAAGAGGTCATCTGCGACGTGGCCTTCCGGCGTTTAGATTCATGGGTCTGTGAATCTCGAGGCGTATAGGCTCTTCCCTTCCCACAGCGGTACGTGATACGCATCGGCTCGCCGCCACGAGGATACTGTTCGTGTATAACGAGGCTATAACCGTTAGAGTAGGCGTGAGCGATCAGAGCTGTGTGGCCATCTTCTTTAGAAGCAAAAACCTCCTTCGGCAGGGTGGAGCCGCAGGGTCGATCGTCGGCCATCGTTGTTGTTATAGTTATAGTAAAATGAAAAAAAGAAGAAGAAGACGAAGCTCTGTCTAATACACAACATACACTTATCTGGATCTAGATGCATCCCACAACGCCGAGCCAGAAGCAACACCTCTACAGATCAATTCCATCCTCCAAAACGCCAACGCTCTCATAATGACGACTTCCCATTATCTCCCTTTTCAGACAGCAGCCGTGCTACAGCCAATTCTATGGAGCTGACGGTCCTCAAGGGCACCCGACCTTCCCCTCCTGCAACCTTCGGCTGGAAGAACGGGATGGCTACGCTCGGACTACAATATCAGACATGAACGACGAACCGATCGAGAAGTGCCCCAATCCCATTGCGCTCTGTATCAATGAAGAGTCCCGAGCACACTGCCTCAAAACATTTTGCCGCATCCAGCACTCGACGTGTGAGTGTTCGCATCTATACGGGACTATATACCGTCTGTGGATTCAGTCCAGTTTCGAGCGGTAATCTCCCACCACCTGCCGTCGCTGCTGATGCTGCCCTTGCCAAACATTCGTATCATGGGTTGCCAGGTTCCCAACTCGCCACTTCAATTAAACATGAGAAAGATGCTGTCGTATGTACTGGGGATTATCGAGGAATTGAGAATAGGCATGCCTTGGTAGACGTGCCATATGAACCGGAGTTTCCCACCATGTGCTGAGCTGATCGATAATTTCAGCCATGCTCGGTAGCGCCTTTGGCGAATACCACGCAGTAGAAGCGCCATTTGGGTTGAGAACTGATGTTTTTGACGGGAATACCCTCAAAATCGCCGCCGAAGCCGAACGTCCCGGGGACGAAGTACTCTCTGTAGATATCTATATAAGAAAAGTTGTCCAAAGCCGGAACAGATGAGACGGCGTCTTTGACCACGGGTCGAATGCAGGCCACTCTGGAGTCGATCACGACCGCGGGCCCCTCGTAGATGTCTCCGGCTCAACTCGCTCGTGAAGGGGAGAAATTTTGGAAATTTGCGTTAAAGGTAGAGTCAGGAATCAATTGCTAGGTAATGGGGCTGATGGTATGTAAGAATATGCTTCTCGCATTATTTCTAGCAGGAGCTTAGCAATAAATGCGAAGTACTCATCGTCCGATACCTCCTCGTTGTCTCACATGGCGATCTCAATAATTCGAGGTTCTGGGTAGGTCTCTTCTCAAATTCTCAGCCGTATTTCGAGTGGCGTCTCCACCCGGACTTGAATGAGAGGACTTTTCAACTCTGCTCAGGCCAGTAGGATCAAGTCTAGAACGCTTATCCCGACACTCTGGTAAACTAAGGTCAATAGCGCCTATCTAGTCCCGCTCAACTACAACATTGTAATACAACATCGTTCGTTGCTTTCTAAAGTGTCGTGGAGATTTGTACACCAATTGGAAGCTAGCATTCCATTCCCCGAACGCTAATGTGGCTGTTAATTACAGGACTGAGAACCAACCAACAACAGCACCCAAACCCTGGCAACAGGACGTTGGACCAAGAATGGCTCGGAACCTCCATCTACCCTTTGCGTAGGCAACCTGTTTTCTCTCATTCATTATCCAGAAGCCATTTCAGACTCAATATTCCAAGATGGCGATGCCATTACCCGCAGAAGTTGAAGCCGCTGTCCAGCGGCTCGGCCGTGAGCTTGAGACAGTCCGCCACGGCGCAATTGAGCAAGAGGCTGCCGCCAAAGCTGTCCTAGACGTGGAAAAACCTGCTTTGCAGAACAAGATCACGGCGAACCGAGAGAGCCTGAAGAAACTAGAGGATCTGATGCAAACATGGAAGCGAGAGGAGGAATCTACTCTCAGAAGGCTTTCTGAGCTGGAGGAAAACTACCAAATATCTGTTCAGTATGCGCATAGAGTGGCTGTCTTGCCAAGTAGTCAGCGTCTGGTTAGTAGCGGTTACGTAGACCTGAGAGCTAAGGCTAACTTCACAGCTTGAATTCGTTTGCGCAGGAGATCCGGACATATCGACTGCCGCCCCTTCTGTTTCTCGAGAAGAAGCCCTAGCTGTTAGGCCTCACGAGGACGCAATCCCCGCATGCAGTCAGTCTTTGACAGCTGAGTCAGGCAGTCACCCTGTATCGCCCACATCCGTCGCTTCTTCTATGGCGAAGAGGCCACCAGAAGAAGACCTCGAGCACCAGGGGAAACGACTCCGAAAGGGGAGCACAAGCCCAATTCCTGGGTTGTCCAAGAAAACTATCGACTTCGACAAGCTCTACGACGATGGAAACGCCAAGTATAAACACCGAATTCTTCAGTACGGTAGCGATTGGTTTATCCTAAGGTGTGATGAGCATGACGTTCATTTTCCATACAAAGCGGCCGTAGCAGCCGGGTCGCATCTAAGGGGTTATTCCCATGGAGGCTCATCAGCGGCCTTGCCGGCAGTGATTGAAGCCTTCGGTATCCGAGTCAATGGCTGTAATAAGGAAATGGCTGAACTTAACAACGAAAGGTTTTGACACGCCTTGAAGAATGGGTATCGCGTGTTTAAGTCCAGCAACCCTCAAGATGCGAGCCTACCGGTCGGTATGTTTCCCGAAGCAACCATGATCTCTTTACTGACTGTGGTGATTCGCACTAGGGACTGCTGTTGCCGAGGAGATAGTAGTTGCTTGTCCGCACAGCCCCGACTCATGTTCACTTGGTCCGCATGAGCCAATGACGACATCGAACTCTGCCATCCAAACGCACAGCGACCATCAAAATGAGTTAGTGTCACGAGACAAAATGCTTATTTCAGGCTCCAATAACGCAACAGGCATTCAATGCCAAGATACCAATGATCCGTTGAGCCTGATGACTAGAATTACACAAGATACCTGCTCTTCCAAAACCTTACAGTGATGAATCAAGGGGGAGGGCATTCATCTCAGGCACATCAGATGACAAGGAGTGCGGGCAGCTGTCTAGAGAATCAGAACAAGGGGGCTTACACAATACGACCGAGACAGAAGCTACGGCCCCTTTTGCGGAAATGATGCTGGATCAAAACATTCATGGAGATATTGCTGTTAACCATGGAAGCTGGACACTCGGACCTAACGATTTTGATCAAGACAGTAACACGATCAGCTCGGGGCAATGGTGGCGAGTTGTGAATGGACCTAGCCGATTACAAGATTTGCCGAGTACAGTCTGAGGAGATTATTTAGGACAAGAGGAGGCACAAATTCAATTTCTTTCGCGAATTAAGAGTCCAACAATGTTAATTACACCTTGGTGCTACGATTGTACATTCCGAGATCTCATATAGCAACCTAATGCCATATCAAATCTACAGAGCATGGAGGAAGAGAAAAGTCTCCAGCCTGGTCAGTTTCGACGTCAAAGGCGCATACAACGGAGTGTATAAAGAAAGACTCCTTCAGAGACTCAAGGCGAGAGGGATCCTGGAAAAGCTGGTGGAGTGGGTTGATGCATTCTGTTCGCAACAGACAGCAAGCATTCAGGTCAACGGCCAGGACTCGGAGGTTCGCTCCCTGCCTCAAGCTGGGCTACCTCAGGGTTCACCGCTGTCGCCTGTTCTGTTCCTTTTCTTCAACACGGATTTGGTCCAGCATCAAATCGATGAGAATGGGTAAGGACGAGTAATTAGTATTATATAGAAGAATAAGAGGGCCAGGAAAGGCCTAATAAGTTATAGGTATAGAACGAGTAGAAAGACTATTAGCAAAGGGGTAACTACGCTAGAGCTGGAGGGTAGTAACTCAGACAGGAACAACTTGTTGGCAGACGAGAATATTCCTGTATAGAAAAGCCAACCTCCCAGGAAGAAGTGGAAAAACCTACACTTTGAATTGCACGCTGCATAGCTGCTTAATAGTTGGATCCCAAAACCATGTGTCACTGAGGAGGCTGTCTAGTAGGCAGCCATTGTCATTAGGCAGCAGGGAGACAATAGCCACGGCTACAAGTAGCTTATGCCTGCTGCAATAGTGAGAAAGAAGAGACACACTTGTATCATAAGTTCAAAGCTTCAACTCTAATAGGGCGGCTGGGACAGACTATGAATAAATCCAATCCAATCCAATCCAATACGTTCCCTACATCCTTTACTTCGCATCCCCTACATCCCTTACATCCCCTCAATCACATCCCCTACATCCTTCAATTCACATCCCTTACATCCTTTAATTCACATCCTCTACATCCTTTAATTCGCATCCCCTACATCCTTTAATTCACATCCCCTAAATCACATCCCCTAAATCACATCCCCTACATCCTTTAATTCGCATCCCCTATGCCCCCGAAATATGGTCCAGGCTTCCATTCTCGTTTTACTGCATAAAGCATGTTTACAAAATCCCATCACACTAGTCGGTAGTTTGCAATAACCCTGCTTCTACGAGGACAGATTCCAACTTTGAAAACGCTAGGTCGATCTGTGAATCCGTAAGCAACCCTCGGACTGCTTGATCGCTGAGTTGCGATAGCTCGCAGGAAGCTCGGGTTAATGCTGAGGGAAATTGAGCAAAAGAGTTCCTTGAAACGTTCCTCAGTGTCCGATTTGTGACGGCAAAATTTCGACTGTAGACGATGTCAGCGTGTCCGTGAATTTGGATGTCGTATACAAATACATAACCGTTTCTGCTTTGTTAGAGTAAGCAAACACAAGTAGAAGAGACCCTCCCGTGAGATCGACCCAGCGTCTAGCGATACGCTGCCGCCTTTTGGCCCGCTTTGCCGATTCGCTAACCGACTCTGAGGTCTGCGATCGACGGTAGATATCTAATGCAGGGCTGGCGTTTCCCATCCCTCTCGGGAGGTGCAGCCAGCCACTCTCCCGGTTCGCCTTAACAGTGCTGCTCAGATATGCTAGCATTCTTATTAGATGTAAGTAGGCGACCCTCGATAACCAGTACATTTCACCCGAGTCTATAATGTTATCTACAAATCTGAAGGTCTCTTGAACCTGGCCGTCGTGGCCCGTCATGGTGGAGTTCTGCAACATGCGCCGCCAGCAGTGGCGCACGCTCATCTAGCTATTGCCATCGAGCGTTCTCGCTTGTGGGCTAAGCAAATTCCGCACAATTCTACTCCACGGGGGCGCTGTCGCAATGATGTCAGGCATGAGGAGCGACCTGCGCCATTTCGGTTTTAATCTCGAGGAAGTTAAGGAGCGGCCAACCCGATTCTGTCGAGTAACTGATCGGTGTTCCCGCTTGGGGCCGGTAATAGGACTCGTCATCTCCACTGCGTCAGTTGTCAATCCATGACTGTGGGAGGTGGCATCTTGGACATCTAAGTCCATCGTCTCGTATGGCAGCCCATCTGTGTCCATCTTGTCATCCAAGTCAGCAAGTTCGACAGGCGTAATAAAGCAGCTTGCGTAGTCTGGAGTCATTTTAGCGTTGATCTTGGTGCTGTGTCAATGCCGTGGACATGAAAGGAGGATCGACCGCTTTAAATAAGAAAGGGAACCACGTCACGCTAGATGGTTTTCAACTTCTTAATTTCAACAAACTAGATTTGAATTTCGATTTCGCGTCGAGGCGCTTAAGGCACATGATATAAAGCTGATGGCCGGGATCAGTCTGCTTCTTTGCGTTCCGAATACTTTCGCCGGAAACGATGTATATCAGGCTTTTTTTAACCCTTGCTGCTCTTGTAGCCCTATCAGTCCACTTGGGATTGGGCATCGTCCTTCAGAAGGCCGAGAATCTGCGAAACAACGGCGTTTTGACAGTCCAGGTAGGTTCGCAACTCGTTCAAGTGACATTCTCTTATAGTAAGCAGCTTAACGGCACAGATTTCCGACTTCTGAGTAACTCCAGCGCCGCAATACCAGCGAACTTTAGCCTTGGGTTTCAGGAAGCTTGCTTCGGATATCAAGACTTCACGCGGCAATGTTTCAATCTACATGATGTTCCTAAAACGGTGGGGAGCGTAATTGGTGGACTTGAATTTGGTCCCTTGAACGAGGCATTGGGCATGATCAAGAGCGTGAACTTTGACAACATAATACTGTCTGATCTTGTTATCGTAAGCCTTGTGGTGGTTCTTTATATCTCTGTCTTATGGATGCGGCAGGTTCTCTGTCTATGGTTGAAGGTCCTGTTGTTTATTGGCCTGTGCATCCCGCTCTTTATCGCCGTATCTCTAGTAGCAGCTATAGGCATTCTGAAATCGCAGCTCAAAGGATCAGGGATTGAAGTGAAATTTGGGGAGAGTGCTCTATATAGCGGCCTATCTCTTGGAACGGGGGTGGTACTTAACTTTCTGGGCGCGGGACTGTTTGTTTAAGTGGGGTACCTCCCAGAATAGAATGAATCTAACAACTTACTGCTCTTGGAGGTGCCAACGTCGCTTACAACCAATCTGATGCTTTAAGCGCTAATGCGGATGCCGCAGCTCACCCGCCGCATCTTAAGCGCCGTTCTGGAAATCAGTTGAGTTGTTAAGAATTAAGTTGTGACTGCACGCACTGTAAAGTATATAATGGCTTAGATCATTCCATGACCAGTCCTCATTCTTGACAACCACATCATATACTAAATACTAAGTTTGAATTCCAGCCTTCAACATGAACAGCGCTCCATTTGAAATCATTGAGGAGATCGCTTCTCACCTTCCCTTTCCCGATCTTCTCAACCTCTCACTCGTTGATCGTCGATCCGCATCCTGTTGCAGCCGGTTTATCTTCCATCATATCGCTACTTTGAACACGACATCTTGCCTATCGGAATTCGAGAAACTTGTCAGCTCCAGAGATCTTTCTTCGCGGGAGCTTTCGATATACCATGGCACATGGCCGACATGTTCCCGTGATGACTGGGAAACCCACCCTTTGCAAGTTGTCGATGCGCATCACAGCATCTTCTCAACCAACGACAAACGCGCCTCTAGTGACGAGCTGGCGCAACGAGCCTTCGATGCGTACTATAGCTTCATTAAAGAGGAGCGCTTGCGCGACAGCGACCACGACCGAGCGCAACTTGAAAGAATTCTTTGGCATTTACCACGCATAGAGCAGATCACCATCTCGTCTCTGATCCGTAAAAGGCTCGGGAGACTCGGGAGAGCAAAGCTTTCTGAAATGCGACACAAGATTCGTATGTCACCTACCATTTTCGATTCTGCTGGCAGCCTAGTTGAGAGCTTGTTCTGCATCTTACCGAAATTTGGGAACATCCGTTCAATACATTGAAAGCAAACTTTTAGACTTTCCGCCTCCATGTCAGCTTGAAGGAATCAGGGAGCTCAAAATTAGCGCCTTGTCTCTCACAGCGTCAAAGGCCCGCTCGTTTACGGAATTCATGAGATCCTTTCCGAATCTAGAGAAGCTATCAGTGTCTCCATACCGTCACCTTAGTCTGGTCTTCCCTCTCGAAGATATAGACCATGAGAAGCTGTGGATTGTGAAGATCTCAGGCTTCTGGGTGTCTAAATTCAATTTTATAGACTTTGTAAGGAGGCATCCTCAGATAAAGAAACTCGTTTTAGAAGAGGTCATGCTGTCAGATAGTAGCTGGGTATCTGTTTTATCCACTCTTAAGCAGGCACATGGCGTCATAGAGCTTAAAAAATGTCAGTAGCACGTATTTAAGATTTAAATTGGGACACACTGGTCAGCCAGTATAGTTCACTATGCGGCCAGTAAAAGATGGAGTGTGTCCCTGTCCCCGATCCGCCCCATGTACCAAACCTATTTTGTATGTACTCTTCGGGTCTCTACAAGGATCGTATCATTTTGAGGATTCCTATCAATCAATTCCTACATACCTTACCTGACCTACAGATCCTATTTTTCCTAACCACGCCTATAAGATCTACACGAGGCAGCCACCAAATGTAGATAGAGGTCGAAGTGCAAAAGTGGGACATTTGGGGACAGCTGGTCGAATGTTTTGGCATTGGGCGAAGTGGAGCGCTCCGGACTAAACATCGGAGCGCGTCGGCTGTCGGCAAAACCCCACTTCCGGGCATAGCCGCTGACTAAGTAGCGGCCACAAACCGAGTAGGAATACAAGGCAAGTCAAGTGGTCCATGATATCATCATCGACAGACAAAGCGCTGAGCGACACAATGATCCGTCCCGCCGTACACGATGTCCGATTACCTTCGAGAGATTGAGAGGCTCCAGCATGAGCTGCAGCAGGCCAAGGCACGAGAAGAGCGAGAGCGGCGCGAGAAAGAACAGGCCAAGGCACGAGAAGAGCGAGAGCGGCGCGAGAAAGAACAGGCCAAGGCACGAGAAGAGCAGGAACGGCGCAAGAACCAGAATACTACGCTGGAGGAATATCTATACAACTGCCACTTTCACCTCTACAAAAAACTCGGTTTTTCCGACCCATCCAAATCTTCGACGGGATTCACGAGGGTCGAGGGGAAATATTACCCTAAGTGGCTTTGCCCTTGGGACAATTTCGCCAACGTCCACCGACAACGCCATTTTGAGGTCATCAGGACGATCTTAGGAGAAAGACGACTCTTCCATCGAGAGAATACGACCAGAGATCTAGGGTCGACCATCTCTCGCAATGCGGCAGGCAACGAGAACGCTATCGATAACTTTGAGAAGCTTGCCGTGGAACATCCTGTCTGGGAAATTCTGCGTCCACTCTGGGAAGAAGAGGAACTACGTGGGGAATATTCGTGTATGGGGCTTCGATTCAGCAACAACAACCGCGACTTCACGCAACCGAACGATAGTAGCCCGTCTAGGGAAAAGGATGACCCGAGCGAGGAACGACATGAGCGGCGGCGACGAACAGGACCAAATAAACGAGTAGCGTCCGAGCAGAGAGTTATGCCTCCGCCGATAAAACCTGACGGATGGGGAGTTCGTACGCGCCTAGACGAAAGCGAGAGCGTGGCGTTTGTGTACGACTATAAGGCAGCCCACAAGATCGCCATCAGGTATCTTAGGCCGGCCATCGCGAAGGAGAAGCTATTTATGGAAGTTGTTGAGCGAATGAATAACAATACAACTACTCGAAGCGATAGCGAGCTGAAGGAACAGGAGAGGGCGGAAGCACTGATTGCCATGGCACTAACTCAAGTCTTCGACTACATGATCAGGTACGGGGTGGTCTACGGCTACGTGGCTGCCGGCCAGTCCTTGTTGTTTCTTTACGTCGACCGAACCCACCCAGAGACTTTATACTGCCATCCGTGCATTCCTGGCGAAGAGGTGGGCGAAATGTCGACCACAGACTGGCCTGACATGGCGCCCTATACCGCCGTGGCTCAACTAGCCAGTTTCTGCTTACTGAGTCTCCGATCCGAAGCTCTCCAGGGTGCGGCACTCGAGGCGGCATTGCAGAAGGCTCAGAGAGTTCTGAGAAAGTGGAGTGATCCGTACGAGGATGCGGCAAATCTCGAGACGCATTCACCCTCGGCGGCGGCGTCGTCGTCGTCGCAAACAACAGAAACGACAGAGGGCTCGAATTTCGTATCCAGCGCGAGGCCGGCCGGCCGTGAATTCTTACTACGATCGAGGTCGTCCTGCAGGGACACGACGGACGTCCGCAGAGACGAGGACGAGGAGGATGGGCCCGGCGATGACGTACTCCCGTCTTGGACGAAGACGGACGGTAGTAAGCGGAAGGAAGGTCCCTCAAGCGGCAGTTCCGAGGATGGGGACGCTACGATGTCTGATTCGCCACCCACCCGGCAATACTGCACGCAAGCCTGCCTGTTGGGCCTGAAGAAGGGGGGGGAACTCGACGGCAGCTGCCCCAATGTGCTCGCCCACCGCGCTGCTGGAGGCAACAACCGGCATCCTATCGACGCGGACAAGTTCGTCCGCCTGATGGGTGAGCGCTTGCGCCAGAACCCGTATCGTGGCTGTATAGCGTTGGACGGCTGGGGCAAGATGGGAGCGACAGGGCTCCTCTTCAAGCTGGAACTGCAGCCGTACAGCTATACGTTCGTGGGAAAGGGGACACTCTCGGGGCGCCTCCACGACTTGGAGCACGAGAGCCGCGTCTATGCGCGGCTCGACAGGCTCCAGGGCGAGGTTGTGCCGGTGTACCTGGGACTGGTCCGGTTAGACCCGGGCTACATCCTTCCCGGCTGGGCCAGGGTCGTCCACATGATGCTGATGTCGTGGGGCGGCGAGGCGGTAACAACGGCGTGCATACCAAACGTGGAGGCGGAGGTTCGGCGCTCCTCGCAGGCTGTCTGGGCCGAAGGCGTGGACCACGGCGACGAACGTGACGCCAATCGGCTTTGGAACAACGAGCGCCGCCGTGTTATGCTCGTCGACTTTGACCGTGCCACCCTTCTCCCAAGTCCCAAACACAAGCAGTTTCCTGATTTGTTAGGGAAGAAGAGAAAGAGGTCAGGTCCAGAATTCAGTAGTCATACCCGGAAACGTGGCTTCCTACCACGTCATCTACAGTCACGGCGTGAAGTGACTTAGACGGCTTGGAAAAGTATCAATTAGCACCACGTGGAATAGATAGCAATTAATTCGCGCAACTCAGAAGGCACTTATTCAAGGGAAACATTGTCTCCTAAACAGTTATGGCGTGGGCGGCGATTATAGTTATCGGAGTAGTGTATTAAGTCGTTAGAGGAGGCTATTAGTAGGATCCGCTAATAGGAAGGATTTAGCATGCTCTATCTATGGGGTAAGCTATTCATAAAAGTCGAGCTACTTAGGTTTAGTTTTAATCTTTTTATTTTATTTTATTAAGAAATTAAATAGCAGAAACTCTAGGTAAAATAGCCTTAACCCTTCTACTCCGTAATCATTTATTCTTAATTCGACGAAGGGCGAAAGGCTATAGGAGTGCTATTCCTTATTTATATAAATACTGACTCTTTTACAATCTATCCACTCGGGAGACTAAAAACCACGCACTCTTTTAATAATATCGGCGATACTATGTTCCGAGTGTATATCGGGTTATAGGCCGAGGAGACACGTACTCGACTAAGGTGAACCGTGCGCGGCTTAGTCCGACTCTTCGCTAAGTACTCGCTAATTATAACGCGATTATCTTATTATAGTATATTAGCTAGCTAGTAAACGAATAAAGACCGTTTTTAGGGAATAGAAACCCGTTTCGTGTCGATAAACCTTAATTAGTAATCTAAGTAAGGGAGATAGGGGCCCTAATAATTAGTAAGAAGGGGAAGGTGATTAGGAGCTTTACTAGCTAACTTTCTGCTTTTAGTTTACTTGGATAAATGTCTTACACTTTATGAAGTTTACTATCTAACTATAGAACCGTTTACTACGAATATCGCGCTAATTAGTTTACCGCCCTAGGAAGCTACTCCTTTCTAGTAAAGGGTCGGTCGCTTTTCTAGTAATAAAGGAATATCTACTAGTAAACTAGCCGTTATTCGTTTAGTAGTAAAGATATATATAAACCTATAACGCTCTATACTAGTTAACTAGATATAATATATTATCTAGTAAGTAAGTAACTATTAGTTTACTAGGTAAAATAAAACTCGGACTTAACTAGGAAACGGTCCTAACCCTGCCTAGTAAAGTAATATAGGCTTTACTATCCTCGGCCACGTAGCTTATATACTAGTAAAGGTTTCCGTCGTTTACTATCCCCTAACCTTATAGCGTAGCAGGTTTTACTACCTAGACTTATAATAAGGTTTACCTAGATCGACCTTTACTATCCTAACCCGTTACACGTACCTAAGCCCTTTACCCTTCCTAGTAGACTTAGTTTGCCTACCTACTATATAGTAAGGTGCCGCTAATAGGGAGCGCGAGGGAGTATATCGTATACAGGAAGTTTAAAGGAATAAGTACTAGTATAGGACTATATATATTTAGGCCGGGCCGGCGAGACTACGATCTTATAGATTAGTAGTTACGAGACAGAGCGAAGTGTAAGGCTTAGAAGCTTTATCTATAAAAGTAACTTAAGCACTAATCACGTAGCTAAAAGCCTCCTATAAGATAGGATATTTTACTATTAATAATACCCTTAAGGTGACTTAGAACTAGTATAGGGCTGTCTGGTTTAGTTATAAGCCCGGTTAGGTATATATTTTACCGTACCCTTAAACCGTGCGGCTATAAGCCGACTAATACCCCGCTATTATTATATCGTGTACTTAGTCTATTTTATAGTAATAGGAATAATAGCAATTATACGGAATTAATTTATATTACTATCTAGACCTTTACGTGCACGCCGTCTTCTTTAAAATGATCCTAATTACTGACGGCGCTGTTTTGCCCGCCGCCCCGCCTATCTTAAGTCGAATAACCGGCTTAAGGCGTACTCGGTGTTTATAAAACGTATATATGCGGAAAGTAAAGTCGTCGTTTAGTATTATACTCTTTTCCTTATATATCTGCACTAGATATAGTAACGGGCCGTCTCCTCTTATCTTAAGATGGCTTTTAACGTGTTTCTATATTATGGTCGTTCGCGTGAATATACGTCCGTAGAAGATATAGGGATCGGGCTTCTGCTACCCCTTAGGACACGGCGTAGCCTCTTTTAGGCTAGAGGGCTGCTTGATGATGATCCTAGGACTTAGAAGCGTCGGTTTAATCGGGGCAGGAGTAATATCTAGAGGTATAGACGGCTTGATAGTGGTGACGGGGGTGGGCGAGGGCTTAATAGCAGGTATTACGCCTATATCTATATTCTCTTTACTATAGTTAATCCCGACCTAGGAAGAGAGCGGATATTATATTAGCGTCGGTGCTATATCTTTGATTAGCCTTATATAAGGCGGCTTTTACTAGGGAGGATATAATAGGAAGGATATAGTGGGTAACGGCTTTAAGGAGATCTATTCCGGTTATATCTCCTTGACCTTAACCTTCTAAGTAAGAGCCACCTAGGTACTAATGACGTTAATCTTCCGCTGGACTAATTCGTCTTCTAATAAGTTAATATCTAGGTCGCCGAGTAGTTCTGCTATACGTCTCCGCTCGGGCTAGATAAATATAATAGCGGGCAGGGGGGAATTACTAGTATAACCGGTACCGTATAACTGCTTTTCGAGCTCTTAGTAATTCTTTAAATTAAAGTAGTGGCGGCGCGTGCTCTCTATTACCCTTACGCCGGTGCTTCTAGGCAGTAGCTTTATATTACTTAAGTAGTTCGTCGTATTATACTTTATCTACGCCCGTTACTAAGTGCGCTTAGCTATAGCGGGACTTAAGGGTAGTCCGTAGCGACAGGACCTACTCGTCTAGTATACGGACCTTAGTACTCGGTCCGATAACTCGTATTATCTTATCGGTAACGCCTATTAGCGTATCCTTATTAACCTGAATACCGAGCTAGTTAAAGAGGGCGAGGTACAGAGACTTAGTGCCGCGGCTAAGGAATATATCCTAGGTAACGATATTAGTCCGGGCGTTATTATAATAGTCTTAGAATATACCGTCGTTTTTATATCGGGCGACCTATTTCCGGACTATTAAGCGGTAATTAGCTACGAAAAGGGTTAGAGGTAGAGTAGAAAGGCTAGGTTACGTAATATAAACCGTTAATCGACTCGAGGTTTCCTTGCTAGTAGTCGTAGCTTTTTAGATTATCCGGTAAACTAGCTGCCTTACCTAGTCTATTAGAGTTATTATCTAGCTAGTTTACCGTAAGGGGTTTATCGGATTTTATATAGCCCTCTAGCGACTTAACGGACTACCGGAAAACGGGTTTATGCATAAACTCTTCCTTCCACGTAAAGTATATACCACGCTTAGTAATTTTAGTGCGAAAGAAGTTCTTGGCTTAAGAGTACCCTTCGTTAGCGATAACGTCTTCGGCTAGCACCTTCGCGAGTAAGTAAAAGACGGGGCAGATTACGGGCAGGTCTTCCTCGATAAAGAGGAAGTTAGTAGGCCGTTGCTGCCTCTTATAGTCCTTATAGAATCGGAAAAGCACCGATATAGTAAGCCGGTCTTTACCGCCGTTATTAGAGGGATTTTATATAATCTATAATTTAATATCCTCCTAGTAAAGGACCTTTTTCGCTAGGGTTATCCTGATATCGTTTTTACCGTATACCTAGTAAGGACCCTAAGGCGGCGGAACGTTATCGTCCTCGCTTAGATCGGTAAAGACGTTATAGAGATCGTGGTATTCTTCTTTTAATACCTTCTATTCTAGAATATTATAGTAGATAAGCTTATAGCGTCGAGCGCTAGTAAATATAAGGAAGTATTAGAGAGTCGTATCGTCGAGGCGGTCTAGGCTAATACTAAACTATCTCTTTTAATCGCGTACCTATAAAAAGTAAGATAGGTAAAGGTATACGTCGGGTCTAATATAGTTCTTAGTCTTCGGCTCGGTCCTTAGCTTATACTTATACTTAATAAAGTCGGTAGTAAAATTAATCGTGTGCGTTCGTAGGGCCTTATCGACAGTAAGGTCCGTGTACTTCTTATAGACTATATAGGTCTGCTAGAGATACCTCTTAATCGTTAACTTAGCTATAACTTTAAAGCCTTGTCGTTAGAGGTAATACTTGATAAAGCTCTTAAGTAGGCCTCGCTTATTATAGGTTAGGTCCTTAAGCTTATCCCGCTAACCCTTTTCGTACTTTATCCAGAGACAGAACTTCTCCTATTATCGCTAGCCCTAGACGATATTACGGCCGTATGCTTCCGAATATCGCGGCCTGATAGGACGACGAGTATTAGCCTTTTCTGTAACGGCGTGTAGCTTATCTAGTATAATCTCCAATACGTCCGATAGGTCGCTATTAGCGAAGTCCTGCTAAATACGACGTAAGAGTGGGTCTATATCTATATCTACGAAACGAGCGGCTTACTTAGAGGGACTCGATAGGAGTATAGGGTATAATACATTTAGAGAGGGAAGGACTCAGGTAGTTCCTGGGAAAGAGTAACCTTTTAACTCCGTTAACCTTAGCCAGTTTACCGTTTTCTGTATTAGTCCTTGAGGGCGCTAACAAGTACCACTATAGGCAGGCAGTATATTCATGCCGCTCTAGAGTACATATTTTCTTAGCGACTTGTACTTACCGGGGGTGCTCGGGGGGGCTAGAACCTGTAGCCGCTGGCGTCCAAAAGCGGTCCCCTAGGCAGCGGCACACGCACTTAGAACGGAATGCGTGTGCCGCTGCCACGGGAGTAGCTTTCGAATTCCTCCAAATCCAACATCACGTGTAAATATAGGGTCCGTGCATATATAGATTAATATACCTAGGAGTACACGTCGATGTATCTCACGACACCTTATCTTAGTCCTTCTCCTCTACTCTATACTTAGGCCTTTCTCCTTCCTGTACCACTTAATTACCTCCTTTTCCTAATAACTGCCTAGCGTATCGTAATTTCGTTTAACTAATTAAAGAAATGCCGTAAATATATTAGTAATACGATATAATATCACTCGATATAATATAACCGACGTGTATCGCTACCTTAACTTGATAGCCTCTTAACCACTATATTACCTTTACCCAGTAAGAGTATTCACTCTATATATAAGATAATACGCTGCCTAAATCGCTCTATAAGTTAGTTCTGCTTCTTTTAACTTTATTTATTTACTAATATATACTGTATAGAAGCATTTATGCTTACTAGGCGACGTGATCTAGCACCTCCTTCTAGCCTACTATAATCGCCTGATACTAGCTAAGACTACGAAATACCGATACGCTAACCTTCCTAAGGGTTATACCGCTCTATAAGGTAGCTAATATTATCAGGGTATTATTAGTTATAGCCTACTAGGAAAGGCTGATCTAGTTATAAGGGGACTAAATAATACCTTAGGGAATAATATTAGCAGATTATCAGGTAGTCTATCTAAGCTAATATTCCTTACTATCGGAGTATACCTATATTATAACTCCTTAACGTCCGAGCAAGGCCAAGCTAACTAGTAATACTAGTGGCCAGGGGTATATAAGGGGAGTGTATAGTAATAACGGCCGAGTACTAGTCCCCCCCTCCTATTCGGTCCTCTGAGTATACTTAAACTCTTTTAGGTTAATATAATTCATTATATCTTTATAATCCTAATTATAACTATAATATCCACCTTTTTACTACTACAGCTACTATAATAGCAGTCGTTATAGTAGTAGCCGTGGTAGTAAAAATGATAAATTTTTTTTCTTATTTATTTATTACACGTATATAGTCCTAAAGCTATAGCGCGGCATCTATTACTCTAAAGGCTAAAGGCTAGTAGAAGCTAAATACAGTATAACTCGGTATTTAACAACGGAAATCCTCCGTAATAATCTGCCTAATATACCTAATATAGTAAAGCCTAAAACAGAGTAACTAGACTATAGGAATTAAGGTTTATGCCCTATACTAGTCCGCTAAGGCTATTTTAGTAGCTAAAAGATAGGCCTTTAAAGCCTGTATACCTCTTTTAGTACCGAATAATTGTCGTATGGGCGCACGGACTATAACGTGGTCTATAGGGGATCCAGGGGGGATTCACGCTATGATTAAGGGCTTAGGATATCGGGGACCTCGGGTATTAGAATATAATAGGGGCGGATACCGGAAAAGACCGGATAGGATCTAAATAATATAGTACCTATAACAGAGTCTTCACCACCCTAATTAAGGGTATAAGAGACTCTCCTAGATATAACTTAATATAATACACACACACGAGATTTCTGCTCTACTAAGTTGATTATTCAAGTGCCTTTTGACGTGCGATAATAATAGCGGCAAAGATAGCGGTAGGCCTGCTAGGGCTTCCCGTAGGGCTTAAAAAGATAGATATTACGGTTATAATTAGGGTAGTTGCAATAGCTTTAATAGGATACAATAATTCGTAGAGTGACTTATACCGTTTCCTTTGATTCTGTTTGTATACTATATAACCCCTGAAAAAACGTACAAAGTGGTACCTTTGTAGTCTACCCTTTTAGGAAAATTGAGAAGGTTCGAGAGACGTACCTGCACTAATATAAAAAAAAACTTAATACTATAATAGGATATCGTGAAGTTAATCCAAAATCTATTGATAGCTATTTACTATACGAAAAGATTTAGTTACTACTTAGAATTCTTATATAAGAAGTGTTTTCTGCTTTATTTTCAGGGCTAATATAATGCTTCGAAATAATGCCTTAGACTTCGACGTATTAGGGAGCTATAAGGTCGCTTAACAGGATACTAAGAACCCCTGATTTAGTATATCTAAACCCCTGTATTTTATATAGAAAATCTCCACTTTTGATATATCTTATTATAATCTACTCCACTCCTTATTGTAATACTACTAGTGTATTCAGGTCCCGCAAGTATATATTATACGTTTTATCAGGGGTTAGATAGTATATCGAGAGACCTGCAAAACCCACCTAATTTCGGGTGATGGGGATATAGTGGATTGTATTAACCTAAAAGAGTTTAAGTGTACCCGGAGGACCGAATAGGGGGGGAAGCGGAGGACCGGCACTCGGTACTTAGCGGACCGAGCCTAAACCAAAGAACCATCCCGCCTTTACGTACCCGCTTCCCAACGACGAATACAAACACAGTCCAACCAGAACTCAGATTGAGCCATTGCTTCCTAAATCGCCGTCAGATTAATCTACTCTCTCTTCCACTTCCATTCCTTCGAAGCCTAAATGCAGTTATCAAGAGCGGTTTTGGCCCGGTCCATTGCCAACGCTTCCTCCACCCGTCCATTGGTCGCAGCCGGATCCCCCCTACAAGTCTAGAAATGCAGGTTCGATAGAAGGAAGCAATCTTGCTAACGGGGGCGGTATTGCGTGATGTGTCTGCGCAGTGACTGGACACAGCCCTCGCTAATCGAGAACATGTATTAGGAGCTTTTTAACGACCTTCATGACCTGTCAGATCGGATAGCACTGCTAAAACGGAGAATGAGCTGGTGGGGCCTCCACATCGGGCGGATTCTGGAGCCCAATGGCAAAGTGTCAGTCTTATCATCTACGGTTGAGAGCGCTAGCACCTCAGGCTTTCGGTTATAGTGTACGCGGCTCGGGAACCGACCACACGAGGTTGTTGTGCGGTGGAAAAGTGTCGCTAAATGCGGACGATGCAGTGTTGGCGGGTGCCTATACACCGGCCTAGCTACTTGGATGGCTGATAAAAGGTGAAGAGATTCTACCGCGGTCTTGCTTTGGAGAGTAACCGACGTACGCTTTGCCGTTAGCAAATACAATACTCGAGCCTTCAGGGTCGAACAAAATTTAACGCAGGGGAGACCAAATTCCAAGCATACCTACCGAAGTACGGAGTAGCTGCACCCTCTACCTAGCCGGGGACGCCACCTAAGGGAGGCCTCGCGTATTCGATATTTGCGATTCTTTAACACCATCCTCGTGCCACCCCAGTTGGTTGAGCGCCAGTACTCTGCGGTAGTCAATTCAGACCTTTCGAACTAAGCGGAGGTGTTTCTTTAAGGTAGCCAGCCTATAGCTTTGATTGCACGAGGCATATGCTCCTCTCAAAAGCCAGGTTCCTCTCCTCAGCTCGAAAAGCTCTGTTGGTGACCTGTAATTATCACGTGGTCACGCGTCGCGTAGAGTATCTAGGTACATACCGACCTACCTTACCTAAATTTATCAGTGGGTCGATCCCCCTTTCTCCTACACCTACAAGACGCAACCGCCATGTTGTAGTCAATCCAGACCGATTTCCATTGACGAAAGATTGATTCTTCGACGACCCATCTTCACGTTCGCTTCATCTTCCGGCCTTGTTTTACTATCAAGCCATTCGTACCCAGATGGCATCTCCGACTATGCCGCCGCCGCCGATGCCAGGACGCGCAATCCGAACACTCATCCTTCTGCTTATCAAAATAAGTCAGAATAGGCTCATACGGAAACTGTTGAAAACACAGACCGGCCTTTTTTATATCAAGACCAGACAAGGAGGAAACATGTCCGAAGCCAACGCTATACACTTCATCGCCAACCACACGTCTATACCCGTGCCGAAGATATACTTCGCATTCGTCCATAAAGGAACAGCATATATAATCATGCGCCATATCAAGGGGCGAATGGCAGCATCTGGCTGGGTACTTCGTTCAGAGGAATCGCAAACAAGAATACTAGAGCAGCTACGCGGTATGATTACCGAGCTCCGCTCTATTCCCCCGCCGGAAGGGACGAAGATTGGTAGCGTTGATGGAGGGCCGTTTTTCGACTGTCGTCTGCCTAAGAAGTTCTACTGGGGCCCGTTTGCTACTATACGCGAATTCCATCACGCGCTATCCGATAATAGTCCATGGCATGCCGACTGCACCAACTTCCCTGACCTCGGCGAGCTTTTCGCATTCTATCAGCAAGCAGAAGAGAGCAGGTTGGTCCTCACCCATGGTGATCTCAGCAGCCTTAATATTCTGGTCGATGGGGATAGTGTCGTGGGCATCGTGGATTGGGAGACAGCAGGATGGTTCCCGCCATACTGGGAGTATACAACTGCGAAATATGTGGACCCTTATAACCCATTCTGGGAGGAACCGGTCGATCGTTTCATAACGCCGATGCCGCAGGAGTGGAAGATGGAAACTATTAGACGTAAGCATTTTGGAGATTTCTGATTAGTTGAGTTTCTCTGCGCCGTTATACATATCAAGCCTCATGCGCTCAAGGCACCAACTCAACCCCATCAAACATATGAGACTACAGATAAACTGATATAGAAGACCGTGGCTAAGCTAAGGGTAGGTGTGGGTCTGCTTTCTGATTAGTCACCCTGGGGAAACGTGTCTCCTAGCTTTACGAGTCGTGTCGTAACACGTTAACGTGTTTTTCCCCCTCTTTTCCTAATACGCCTTTAATTAATTAGTCGAACTATTTCGCGATCGCGTTAAATATATTATAAGGAATATTTCTATTAAGGGTTATTATATTACTTATCGTAAAGAGTGCTTTTCTATTATTATTAAAAGGAACTTTTATATTACTATAAAGAGTGTTTTTCTCTTATTTATTATAAGGGCAGTTACCTAAGATATTTAGCCACGTGACTCTAATAAGTAAGAGGGGTTTTCTCCTATTTATTATAAGGGTGGTTATCTAAGATATTTAGTTATATAACCTTAATAAATAAAAGAGACAAAATGACATGATTAGGATATCGGGAGGATATGCGAGTATATATATCTATACGGAGCCTACTAAGATACCTGTAGATACTAAGGTAAGGTAGAGAAATCAAAGATACTATAAGCATAAGATACCTTTAGGCCCTGTTCGCGAAAGCTTATAACGGGGGAAATCCTCCTATTATGGCAGAAAAATATATAACTTATAACCCACCGATAGTATAAGGACCCCTTTTATATAATATTTTTAGTATAACTGCATTTTTTATATATCCCTCTATTATCCCCCTATTATCCAGGTACCACGCTAAACAGGGGGCCACGGTGGCGGAAAACTTATAAGATAGGAGGATTTTACACGTAATTTCTTATAAGCACCTAAAAGATGGTAATAACGTGGGAGAAAACGTAATAAGATAGGCTCCGTAGCGGCGCGGCTAATTACGGAGCCGTTAAAGCTATTCCTAATAATAATAAAGCTATACTAGAACTCGATATCCTATATTAGCTACGAGGGCGATATATCGATATCCTACGGATCCGGTATATAAGGGAGCCCTCTATAATCTATTACACACTAATATAACCTAGGGTCGATATATTAATGAAAATAGTAGTCGTTCTGATGTTTAATAGCAGTAGAATAAATGTGTTTTTTTTATTAAAGAGACTATATCCCGTATTCTACGGATTCGGATTAATATTCCTCCGAGAGATAATTCATTTATTATATGAAAAGATATATCGATAACAAGGACCGGCGTCGAGATAGCGCCTTGGCTCGGTTTATAACTTGTATAAAAATCTAATACAAAAGCTCCTATCTTATGAGCTTTCGCGAACGGGGCCTTAGGTACCTACCATAGCTCCTGCCATTGTACCTTCGGAGGTATTACCTTAGTTCCAGCGTTTTACCCCTCCAGAGCTCTAGGTCTCCATTCGACCTCCATCATAGGTACCTCAGGCAGGTACCCATAGAATACAGTACATCATAGTCCATATTTACGTACCGTACTGGGTGCTTTGACCATGGACCTCCAACCCCACCCCGCCTTTCATCACAGAACGCTCCCCCAACACTGAGAAACATTGACCGGCCCTGTTTACCTCTGACCGCCTGCTGGCTTTCCGTCTAAAATCTAAACATACCCTTTTCAACAGAGGACATTCCATCGCAAATACCGACAGATCAGACGTTGTAACCATGGATGACATTGCGAAAGAATACGATGTCATTGTCCTGGGCACAGGTATGTCTCGCCCCTTTTCCCTAACCATCCCCTTGTCCCCTCCAGTTCAGGCCGCTCGGCATCCAAATCACTGCCCCGCATCCTTCTCTGGCCTACCTCTTGATCTCGTTGTTGTCCGTTGAGCTCGTTGACTAAGTGACCCTTTTTTTCTAACTCTGCTCTAAACAGGCTTGACTGAGTGCATTCTTTCTGGGTATGCCTCCTCCCTGGCAGGATATTTGAGGATCGGACTCGATGTTAATATATGCCCTCGTTCCCCCCCTTCTAGTGTGCTTAGTGTCAAGGGAAAGAAGGTCCTCCACATTGATCGCAACGACCACTATGGCGGGTAAGCCTTCCACCCATCTCTCTGCTTGTTTCTTGCCGTGTAGTTTCTATTCTTTGGTCATATATGCAGAAGTGCTAACGATCTCTCCCTGTAGTGAGGCCGCATCGGTCAACCTCGAGACGGTATGCCCAACGCTAATCCCCCCCCCCCCCCCTCGAACAACTTACAAAACACCCAGATACAATCCCCCGACAATTTCCAGAGCCGATCAGCTATCTGACATATATAACGTCCAATAGCTTTTCAAGAAGTATGGAAATTATCAAAAGGGCGAGGAGCCATGGACCAAGTATGGCCGGCTGAACGACTGGAACATCGATCTCGTTCCCAAATTCCTCATGTCCTCGGGCGAGTTGACCAACATCCTCGTCTCCACTGACGTCACACGCTATCTCGAATTCAAGCAAGTGGCTGGCAGCTTCGTGCAACAAGGCCAGGGGTCCAAGGCCACTGTCGCCAAGGTCCCTTCTGACGCCGCTGAGGCCCTGCGCTCCCCTCTCATGGGCATCTTCGAGAAGCGTCGCATGAAGGGCTTCATCGAGTGGGTTGGTACCTTTGACATCAAGGATCCCGCCACTCATAAGGGTAAGCCCATCTTCCCTATTCTTCCCGCTTGTGCTTGGGCGCCTGTCAAGACATCCTTCCTTCCCACTTCCCCCCTGGATCACTATACTAACCAACTTTCACGCGACAGGTCTCAACCTTAATTCGGCCACCATGAAGGAGGTCTACGACAAGTTCAGCCTGGAAACCGGCACCAGAGACTTCATCGGCCACGCCATGGCCCTCTACACCAACGACGACTACCTCACCAAGCCTGGTGCTGCCCCCGAGGCCATCGAGCGCATCCGCCTCTACGGCCACTCTGTCGCCCGCTACGGCAAGTCTCCTTACATCTACCCGCTCTACGGCCTTGGCGAACTTCCCCAGGGCTTTGCTCGTCTGTCCGCCATCTATGGAGGCACCTACATGCTCAACACTCAAATCGACGAGATACTTTACGACGACGGCAATGTTGCCGGCATCAAGGCCACCATGACCGGCCTGGACGAGATGAAGTTCGAGACGAAGACCAAGACCATCATCGGCGATCCTAGCTACTTCCCCGGCAAAGTCAGGGTCGTGGGCCAGGTCCTGCGCACCATCTGCATCCTCAAGCACCCGCTTGCCGGCACCAACGACGCCGACTCGTGTCAGATTATCATTCCCCAGAGCCAGGTTGGCCGCAAGCACGGTTCGTCTCCCGCCCCGCATTGACTGTTTCCCGGGCTTGCCCAGCATGGACAAAGAAAACTAACCTGGTATATCGCTAGACATTTACATTGCCTGCGTGTCTTCTGCACACAATGTCTGCCCCAGGGGCTACTGGGTTGCCATCGTATCCACCATTGCCGAGTCGGACGCGAACCATCACATTGAGCTTGCGCCTGGTCTGGAGCGCCTTGGCAAGGTTGAGGAACAGTTCATGGTGAGATACGCTCCCCCCCGGCAGTCCTAGCCATACTGCAATCGTTCCCATCTCGCATCTCCTAGTGTCCGGAAACTGACAATCGATGTTGTTCCAGGGCCCCCCGATCCCCATTTACGAGCCTACCGACGACGGCACCAAAGACAATGCCTACGTCTCCAAGAGCTACGACGCCAGCAGCCACTTTGAGAGCACCACCGATGATGTGAAGGACATTTACCGCCGCGTCACAGGCCAGGAGCTTGTTGTGGAGGGCTTGAGGGAGGGCATTCAGGTAGCAGATGAGCAGTAGAACGAACGTACTTCAGGCTGCAGAGCAGCGTTGAGATAGAGGGTAACACAGCCAATGGAAAGTTCTTTTTATAGGAAATAAGCAAACGAAGCGAGCCAATTATGATCTGGACTATCCTTCGGGACGGGATATTATAAGTCTCTTGCATGAAACATAACTGCCCAGGCTGTCAAGTCACGCCCAGCTCTCTCCTCTGGTTGGGTGCTGTTTCTTGGTCGGCTCGACAGCGTCCAGTTGCGAATCCCGGGCCTACATGGATGGTATTCATTCAAAGTAAAAGAGCTTCAAACACTTACTCGAAATATTGTCACTTCCCGTCGAATAGCAGGCACTTGAACTACTACACATCGGAAAGAATGTGATGTTCAACGCATCACCGACACTCCAACCTTCCCCTAAGGTATTGAGACTGAGAAGCGGATGGAATAATGTAGGTCATATAAGTCATTGACGGTATCTAGGTCCAGAGGAACTCAATCTTCCACCTTTGCATCCTGCCTCCATGTCCATGGACATATCATACATGGAGTGAAATGCCCACATCTCTCCAAGTATCCATCAAGTCGACAGATAGATAGGTATATACGTCCTGTTTCTTGTATTTTTTGCAGTTTCCCTGATCACGAAATCACGGCACCCCTCGCGCCAAAACGCCTCGAAAGACAATGCCCTACACGATGACGAAAGCGACTACCTTATGATAGGAGAAAACCAGGCCAAACCATTCGCAAGAGGCGATAGGAACATGGCCAGTTTAACGACGCTGGTTCTTGCCAATGCCACGCTTACCGGCAACCTAGATGAAAAGATCTCGAGTAAGTTTCACGTTCCACGCAAAGACAAAGAAGAAAACCCCGATCAAGCGATAGGGGGGTTGCAGAGTTCGCAAGATTCATGACAAAACTTACCAACCACTTTTGAAGAGACGCCGTTTGGTGGCGATCCGCCTCACCCTGGCGAGCCATACGGTTCATCTTCTGCTGGCCCAACTTGGCCATACGGTCAGCCTTGCTGCGCGCCGTCTCGTCCTGGACACCATCATCGCGACGGTTGGTAGCCGGGCCCATGCTACGGGCACGGCTCTTGGACCGCAGGCGTTCGCGCGGGGTGGCGTCGAGGTCCATCGCATCGCCGTCCGCGTCCTCGGTGCCGGCGCGGCTGCGGGTGAGAGAGCGGCCTCTGGGCCGGGACTGGGAACGCGCCCGGGACACGATGTCCGTGGTGTCGACACCGAGCTGGTCGAGGGCATCGTCCATCTTGGAGAGCGGAATGCGGACCTTCTTGCGGGGGATGATGGCCTGGTTCTTGAGGCGCTTCTTCATGCGGGCTTCGTTGCGCATGAGGGCGTGCTTCTCGCGGATGTGTTCGGCTTGGGAGAGGATAGTGGCCTCCTCCTCGTCGTCGAGTTCTTCGTCCGAGTCGTAGAACCCTTCGGCCTCCAGTCTCTCCTCCTCCTCCTCGAGCGCGGCGAGCTTGGCGTCGATCTCCGGGTCGATGAAGTCGGCCACGTTCATGCCGTTGAAAATCTCAGGCACCTTGTCATACTTCCACTCGGGGTTCTTGAGAAGATAGTCGGCTCGGAGGTCGACGTTGAAGACACCCGCACCACCATTTTCAGCTTCGACATCGCGCGAGAGCTTCGGTCGGTCCGGATCCTCCTTGTTGTATTTCTTGAGGTTCTTCACCGCCTCGGGAATGAACGTCGGGAGCGGCGCGCCCATCGGCTGGGCAACATGGATGCGCGACATGACTTCTGCCAGACGACCACCAATGGCACCATTGTTGGTAGTGCCGGCCTTCAGCTTCTCTGAAACGCGCTCGGCGAGTAGCCGCTCGCAAACAGTGTTCTTGACGTCCTGAACGCCTTCCTGCGTACTGCACGACAGCTGCAACATCTCGACATCACCAGCTTTCAGGAGGGTGTTCAGTTGCTCCTGTGTCTCTGCGTCGAGGTCCTCGGGCTTGACAATGTCGATCTTGTTGATGACGATAAAAACGAGCTTGTTCGCGAAGAGCGGCTTGATGCTGTTGAATAGATTAATCTGGGCCTGAACGGAATAACCGCATTGCTCGCTCAAATCCATGACTGTTCGCTCGGGTCAGTAATGTTCTTTGCCGTTTGGTTGGAAGAAGTAAATCCAAGTAAGGGTCCACCCACAATACATAATGGCGCACCGCAGATGGGCAATGGCCGTGATGGACTGCATCTCAATAGTCGACCTAAGATCCACATCAGCGCCAGGTTCTTTCAAATCTTCCCATGGGTACGGCCGCTTACATCTCCTCCAGGGGGTGGTCCAAGATTCCAGGAGTATCGATGCACTGGAACCGCAGATACTTGTAGTCGAAGTGCCCAATGAAGAGGCTTCGAGTTGTGAAGGCATAGGGCTGGACTTCGGTGTCCGCTCTTGAGACCGCTAGTAGTATATCTGTCAGCAGGTTCTTTACACGCAGTGCTGGAGTATGGACGTACAGCGAAGGAAAGAACTCTTGCCAACGTTGGGGAAACCAGCGACGAGCAAGGTCCGCGTATTTGGCTGGATAGATGGAAGACGACCTAGATGCATGCGAACCTCCTCAAGATACAGCAAGGTGTCCTTGAGTCGCTGCTTTCGGTCAGCGTCGTCACAAAATGCATATGCTCTTCAGGGGTTTGCCGTACCTTGATAATGGTGACCATTCTACCCAGGGCTGCTCGTTTGAGTTGCTCTACGGTCCGAGTTAGTATCATTATACACGATTGTTAAGATGCAAGGGGGTGGCGGTCTGGTTCGTACTGCATTGGAAAAGACTGCCCGCGTACTTGAGTAAACGGACGTAATCGCGAGACACAGTCTCAATGAGAGTCTTCGCAGTTGACACTTGGCCGAGGGCAATCTTGAGATGGTCGGCATCGTATAGCGTGTTCATGAGGTCCTTGTAGAAGGGATGAATATCGTTGAGGCGAGGGAAAGCCTCGACAATGGCGCCCAGCTTCTCAGAGCAGGTCTCTTGAGTGAATTTGACCTTACGGGTATAGAATGCCTGCAGTGGTGTTAGCAGCACGACCTCGATTCCGACTTCAAACAGCATCCAAAGCTGAATCGCGCAGCAAGCATATGAAGAGAGCCGCTGCCGGGTGCACAATCCCGTATCCAGTTTGGTCGCCGTGGCGCATCTCAACTCGATCCGACAACAGAAAAGCAACCCGCATCCCAAAAGAAAAACCCCTTGGAAGCTCTGTCCAGCAAGCACGTACCCTGATTCTGCTGATCTTAAACCCTGCGCGGATCTGGGTAGGTAGTTTCCTCTGGGTCGACGATAGGACAATGTCCGTCATCTGTTGGTGATTGGGGATTGCAGGGATGTCCTTCCATCTTGTTCATGTCAGTGAGAGTGTAAACGTAATGTGTAGTCTTGATATTGGCGACTGACTGTGTCTTCATGACGGGCAACGGGCGAGCTCTGGCGCGAGCTCAAACGTGTAAGGAGGGAATCGGAGAAGGGGCAAAAGTTGGGCTTCGTCTTAGGCGGTGAACAAAAGATCTGGGAGGGTACGGCTGGCGAAGGGAGAGTTCCTATCCAAGACCGTCGCATAAAAGTATCGACCGTCCGATGGATAAATATCTGGCCCTCCGTTGTCGAGCGAGGGGTATTTGACACAGGAGATATGTGTCTGTCGGGCCAACAAATGCAAAAATGCGAAGGCTGTTCAGGTCGGTTGGCCTCCAGATAATTTTTTCTTTGGTGGTGATCGAAAGTGGGACCATGGTATCTTATCTAATCTTATCTAATTCTGCACACCCCAAACCCCGCGAACAGGAATCCCATCCTTCATCAGTGTTCCTTTGGAGTACACAAGCAGGAAACAGAGGAGATGAGATGCATCGCAGCGCCCCTGAAAATAAGAGAACTCTCGAGAAGTGATTTCTTGTTTCCAAAACTCGTTAATTAAGAGCCGAGCCTGTGCACTAATAGTTGGCGAGGTTAAGGTACTGGAGAATATATGAGTACTCCATACATATCGGCTACCTTTCGTTAAATGTGTACTTCGTCTCAGTACTGCGCGCAGTGACCCACTCAAGATTTTTCCACTCATGGTGGGGGGGATCGCGGGGCAGGGACGACTATGAAGCACCATGTGAGATAAGTTTGGAGGAAAGCAGAAATGTACAGACACCTACCTTGACTTGGTGGCCCAATACTACTAGCGACGGACCTATTACCGGAGGGAGCTTCGAATATTTCACTACACATACCTCTCTGCGTCGGTAAACAAACGGGCAGTTATCATACCTCTAGCGATCCATCGAAAGCCACATCGCAACATCTCCGGTTGTACCCTGAGCTCAAGTCGCCGAGAACACAAACATTAACAATGGCCTCCCAATTACCTCCCTGGAAGCAGGACTTCCTCCGCGCGGCCATCGACAACGGCATTCTCAAGTTCGGCCAGTTCGAGCTCAAGTCGAAACGCATCAGTCCCTACTTCTTCAACGCCGGGGACTTTTACCGTGCCGACCTCCTGCGCGCCATTTCCCTCGCCTACGCACACACCATCCGCGACGCCGCCACCACGGGTCCCAACCCCCTCGACTTCGACATCGTCTTCGGCCCGGCGTACAAGGGCATCCCCCTCGCCACCTCCGCCGTCGACAAGCTCGCGGAGCTGGACCCGGCCCGCTTCGGCACCATCTCCTACTCCTTCGACCGCAAGGAGGCCAAAGACCACGGCGAGGGGGGCACCATTGTCGGCGCCCCGCTGAAGGGCAAGCGGGTCCTCATTGTCGACGATGTCATCACCGCCGGCACCGCCAAGCGGGAGGCCATTGCGAAGATTCGCGCCCAGGGAGGAGAGGTTGTGGCCATCGTCGTGGCACTGGACCGTATGGAGAAGCTGCCCTCCCCTGACGGCGATGACTCCAAGCCCATGCCGAGCGCATTGGGCGAGATTAGGAGGGAGTATGGCATTCCCATCTATGCCATTTTGACGCTTGACGACATCATCGAGGGAGTACGGGGGATTGCTAGCGAGGAGGATATCCGGAAGACCGAGGATTACCGGGTCAAGTATAGGGCAAGCGACTAGGTAGTCGAAAATAAGCAGAGCTCCAACAGGAAAAATAATGATTAAAAAAATACAACGTGTCGGTATCTTCTGAACTCCCAGAATCTGAATATAATGGGCAGTCGTTGTTTCCCGGGACTCCTGTAATGTGCATGAACCAATCTGTGTCCAGGTGTCCAAAGGAGGCAAAACACTTAATGGTATTCATCGTGGTCTGGGCTAAAGAGCCCGCCTATTGTAAAAGAAACAAAACCTCTACCAACACGCTGATGTAAAACAGGGTCATAGAATGTCCCCAAATACCAACCTGGACTCGCCAAGTCTCCTTGGTGTCTCGTGAATAAGAATACAGACGAGGATATAAAATCAATCGCTGTAGGTCAAAGTCCCCATAGCGCCACCACAAACCGGCTAGACGTAAACTCTCGGGGTTCGAATCAGGCCAGACCTGTCAAAGCCATACTAGTCTTTCGAGGACGGTCCCTCCAATTCCATCACCTATAGCAGTCGAGGGTCGGTCAGGCTCGCTTCTTACAATGGTAAAGACAAAGTCCGCAGCTCGTTTGGCCCAATTCTGACTTACCATGTCGTACCATCCTCCTCCACCAAAAGTGGCCTTGCTTTCTCCCAGGTTCTCGAATCCAAGTTCTTCGTAGTATCCGATCAAGTGCTATAAAGGACGGTCAGCGCATGTATGGCATAAGGCATAACTCGCGGGGAGTTCAAACGGTGATGGGGGGTTTACGACGCACCTCTTGACAAAGGAGGGCAATGCGGTCCGCCACGCCGGATTCATTCATGATCTGTATATACGATGCCATGGCAAGTTTCCCAATACCAGTGCCCTGAAGCTTGGGCGACACGGCCAGGGAGTGGACGCAGACCGTCCTGCCATCCAGCTGATTTCCGAGTTCCTTGGGAGCGGAGGCATCACGCCAATTGGTGGGATACTTCATATCGTTATCCGTGACGACCGGGCCTTTGCCCATGGTTGAGATGACATGGGCACATAGGACAAAGACTTCGCCATCCTCGCGGTTCGTCTCGACGGGTTTCGCGAACTCGATGGTTTCCAGCCCGAAGGCTCGAGCTTCCGCCGGTTTCACACTGCAAAAAAGGCCGAAACAAATGTCTGACCCGGTGGTGAGGCGGTATTCAAACTAATCGACGTGCTTTACGTCAGTCTCCGAGTCAAGCAGCAATGTCTGGGTAGTGGGGACAACTGTGATCTGTCTGGATATCTGTCTATCGCGAGCTGGGCTGCGGGTGTGTTAAGGTGTAGAATGGACGAGAGACTAGCAGTAGCTGTGGGTTTGTTCACCTTCTCTGGGGTACAGCGGTGGTCCGGATTTCTGAAAGCGGCATTCTCTAACGCCACACAAGAGTCCACGTTCGAGGGGGTAAGTGGCAGGAATATGGGACTGAAGTGGAAGGGAACGGTTTCTTGGACACGTAGTATAGTCGGATCATGCTGTTTCCGCTTATGTTCGACAGACTTTGTCCTCCGACCTTCCACGATGGCCTCGTCCTCGTACACGGTGTCATCGATCGCGCATTTGGATTCCCCAATGTCCTCGGGGGACTTGGTCCGCGGTTGGGCCGCCGACATGATGAGCTGAAGTCGCCAAGATGCGAGGACACTGCAGTCCGTGGGGGATATTGGATGATAATATGAGATAGATAATATCGCGTGCTTCTACGGGCGAGTGGTTGTCGTGTCAGAAGTAGAAAGGGCGGTTGCTGGATACCTTATAGTCGGTTCGCAAAGAGTCCGGAGACAGAGGGAAGGTGAGGTTCAGGATATACCAGGTAATGACAAAGCTTAAAACGGCGTATACTTTGGCCGTTACCTTACATAAGGAAAGTTCACGATGCTCGGCTAGGTACAGTTCGTACCGAGCAGGAGCACTGACCTGGGTGACGTCATAGGAACCCTAAATCTCAACGGCACTGGCAGATGTAGGATACGAAGTCGAGGCAGAAATAAACCTATGCCTCTCAGCAGCTTTGCCTACCAGGTACCTATATGGATAAATAATACATAAAAACTCCATCACGGAGTATATAACAATGTTCCGAAGGTTGATACAATACACGAACTTACGAAGTGCCCTTCCAGTAGAGAGCCGCTGCATCTGAGATTTTGCGAGAAGAAAACTTATTCGAAAGACGAAAGGTTTCTCTTAGAGGGGACAGACAGGTACTAGAGAAGAAATTAATACAACCTATAATAAGCTAAGAGCTTATTTGAACTTATCCAGGCCGGTGACCAGGTGCTGCACTTGTTTCCTGGCCACTACTACGTATATTTCTTCCTTGAATCAGTCTCTTTTACCAGGGAACCCGCAGGACACTACCCTATTGTAATCCAGTTTCGTGCCTGGCTACCCCCTTGCGACAAATTCCGGGACATATGGCCGACGGCAACGGGACATCCCCGAGACGATCGCTGTGCAGTGACCGTCTTCGCGTTGGCGCTGGAAGACGCCCGTCTTATTATCCCAAGAGAAGAAGCCTGGTACGGAAGAACAGCGTGTATGGCTGGGTGGATGGCCTCGAGAACATCAGGCATCGGTCAAACTTACTCCCTATACAATCTCGCGTCCATTCCTCTTTCCACGAAGGATACCATGGTTTATTATCTTGCCGAAGAAAGTAACAACATCTTCTACTTCACAATACGTGGTACAGCCATCTGGTGGGATGCTAGGGACTTCTGGAGACTTACCATAATACGATCAGCGAATCCGTTACATACATGTATTCTGAACCCTATTTATTCACCCGATTCGTGTGGGCTACTCCTGCCAGTGAAGCTCTTTGTTACTCCAGGGGCGGCTCGCTAGGTTCTCCGGGTCACTAACACTAATGGGTTGAAGTATGAGTCCAAGGAAATGGGCCCCGGGATCTCCAGCAACTCTACGGAGGTGAGGGGAGTCAAAATTGCAATCAGCCACAAGATAAATACGTGAGCCTTTAGCAGATTCATCAGGAAAGGAGGTCTGGTAGATAAGTTTTGGGGCAAGGTTTCATGAAGAATAGGAATTGTACAACTACTTATCAAGAACCTTCCTCATCTTTACGCTGTTGATGTTGTCGTCTTCGTTGTTGTTCTTGTTGTCGTCGTATTATTATTATAGTTTTAAGGGCAGAAGCGTCAATAGCCATAGTATTAGTAGGAGCATACCGTCATTCTCCAACATAAAGAAATGCCTCCCCGGTCTAAATACCGTCTAACGGGACAGGCACTTGCTCTGCTTCCTATTAAGGGCCAGACGGCCATGGAATATATCGCCAGCAACGACCTGACATGCAAGAAGGGCAATCCTGTGGTAGATTGTCATCGACGTCGTGGTCAACTCTGGGTACCTTAGGGAAAGTGGGAGATTGTCTGGTACGGGGTGACAGGGTGATCGTGGTGCAAGAACAGCATGTACCGATACCGTTCAAGCTACCGATCTGGTTGTGTCTTGAATTTGGACTCGTAGACCAGTGTGTCTGTGACCATCTTTGCAGTAAAACGTGAGGGAGGAAGGGTGTTGAGTCGAATCAAGGAGACTCAAAAATCGGCACTTGTGACTTTATCAGGGAAAATATCCTATTCCAGGTAGGGCAGAATAAGTAAGTTTGCTTGTGCGCGGATACGTGGTGGAAGCCACACAGAGAGTTATTGATAGGCCACATTCAGATGGCTTCTGGGGGGGCAGGTGGGTAGGTCCCAGAGTCAACTCCGTACCCCAGACGCCGCAATAACTACCTGTGACCAGTGTCACACTCAAAAACGTACCACTACACCAGAAGAGAATCCTCTATTTGATGTAGGTACTTTTTGACATTATATAAGGTAGTTCAACAACCAGAATAGCCAATCCCTGGCCAGACCAACCAACAAACCTATGTGCAGACTACATCTCCTGGCATTGGAACAGGAGAGAAGAAGATGAGTATACAGACGCTGGTGCAGGTAACTCGCTTGTGGATCGGGAGATCCCACAGCCTCGACATTCATATATCCAGCTATACTGTGATGCAGGTTGGCACAGAAAGTAGATACGAAATGAGGACGGGTAGGATGAGGTCGTGTCCGAATTAAAACACCCACCTGTTCCTTATCTCGAGTATATCGTCGAGCCTCATGAGATATCTATCACCACGGACACGGAACCAATGAGTCGTGTTCTCCTCAAGCAAAATACAGTAATTAATGCCTGGTTTCCACTCATAAGAAACGTCCCATGGTCCGCACTCACTCTGGACCAACGGCCAGGAAACTTGGGAATTGGATCTGTCCCCTACCCACTACGCGGGACAAGACAAGAGGAATACTTTCGCGGCTGAAGAAAGAAGAGGGACCCTAGAACGGGGTGGTGAATTGGATACTAAACTTCCACACGACGCGGAGGCAACACATCGCTTTTCCCCCAAGCAGCAGCTGGCTGAACCGTCCGCCTGGCGAAGACAGAACTACAGACTCGACATACACCCAACACAACACAAATCCGAGGACGAACGACACACGAAATTAGGAGCCGTCCCTTTGCCACTAGCCTGTGAGCTTCCTGGACGATAAAAAGGAGTATATTCCCGAATTAAGGATCCCTCTATCCAGTGGCAGCTAGGAAGAGGCGCTGCCCTTCCGCTTCATATATAGTACAGACATGTTACACCGTACAAAGTACACGCCCGGGTCCCCTAGGACCTCTTACAGCTTCTGTGCCTGCTCCGATGGCTTGCTAGCTGGTATTGTCGACGGGTCGACAAGATTGTCCGCAGCAGCCTTCTGCGAGGTAGACGCCTCCTTAGCGGCAGTCACATCGCCGTCCTCCTTCACGAGAAAGTCCTCCTCCTGCTGCTCGTACAGAGGGGTGTAGGCCTCGCCCTTGCCCGAGAGGTTGATCTCCGGGTCCTGCTTCGCAAGCTCGTACGCATCCTCCCACAGGTAGTACCGCTCCGTCAAGACATGCTTGATCGCCTTCATCGTCCGTTTCACCTACAAGTGCGCAAACCGCAAGTCAGCCGAGTTCCGAGCCTAACCAGGCATCGAAAGCAGCGAGTAGCAAAAGGAGGCGACAAAAGAAAGAACGCAAGTCAGGATATGAAACTCACCACGTCGTCCCTTGCGTTGGTCTCATATTCGCCAAATCCCATCTTCGCTCGAGACCTTTCGGCGTTGGCAGTGGCGAGACGGTTCCGCTCCCGACAACAAGCCCACCACAGCGCATGTAGGTCCTCCCAGCTCTTCTGCCGCAGCTCATTTGCCGTCCATGCCCGCCCGTACTCCCCATCCTCCTCAGGCGTGTTCATCAGCTTCCCCTGCTCCGGGAAGAACCCCCATAGTCCATGGTCCTTGTCCACGGTGATCTTTGGCTTGTAGTCGGCAGGCTTGGGCAATGGGTCGTACGACACCGACAATGGCTCGCGAGGCCCAGTTCGTCGTAGGGGACTGACGCCGCGGAGCCGGTTGTTATCGCGCGTCTTTCGTTTCTGGTGCGGCGACGATGTCGAAAAGGATGCGGCGGACTGGGTGGTGGGAAGCGGAAAGATGGACGGTCGCGAAGCGAGGAGCGTCCGCTGGGATCGGGCGGTGTGCACCACGCAGCGCACAGAAGATGTGAAAGTAGTTGGGTTCGTCATGTTTGTAGTCGCATTCCCCGAAGGCTCAACATACACAAGCACCACTGGCGTAGTCTTTGAGGTTGTGGTGAAGCCTTTTTCCAGCAAACGTGAATGGGAGCTCGGTGTAATTTTTTGGCCAATCAGAGTGTGTTGGTTCTCGGAAGCGGCACCACGATGGACCGAAAACTGCGCCACAAAATAGCCACAGTCCCTTGCGTCCAAGCCTCGGGTTCCGGAACCCCATCACAGATGTCACGAATATGTCGAATGTGTTATGTACGAATCGGCTCAAGTATTTGGAATGTAGAGGCGAGAAACTTCCATGACAAATTTGATGATTGTTCAGTGGGGTTCTGTATTATCACGCCGGAGGGGGGATTGGAAGCTTCAGACACGATGCCTGCCTAGCATATTGGAGGGCTTCGCATGTCGGCTTGTGGACACTCTTCGAGACTATGGCAGCTCCTAGTCCCCACTCGGTGGGAGCAACCGTTTACTTTATCTTTGGAAATGAGCCCTACAGTTCAAGACCCCACGGAAATCCAGCGAGTGTGAGCCACTGCTCCTGCGTGGAGAGTTTCCAAGACCTACAGACGTCAGCGGTGGAAACTGGGGCTTCCCGTCCCAAGCTCGGATCCTCCTCCACTTAGGCGCCTGTTGTGTAACATTGCGAGGGGCGGGAGGGTCGAGACGAAGCTCAAGAGCTCTCCTAAGGTAGGTAAAAACTTAGCGTTATACGCAGGTACCCATTTCCACATCCAGATGTCTGTGAAGTCAGTGTAGGTGGCACGGGTGTGCCCCAGCGCGTTGGGTCCATTCCTCCATCCACTTGGTGATCATGTATGGAGTCCCCAGTCCCATGAATGCGGAGAGGGACCCCTCTGGCGAAAGATGGGGGGAGGGGTCCAGCGGGAGTCAATGAGGGGGGAATGGGAACGGGCGGACCGCCTCCACCACACCTTCAACTGCGAGTTGAGGCCCCAACGAAAGATCCGCACGGCAAGGAAGCATCCCTTCATTGACATGTTTTATTAAGCAGCGGACGGGTGGGCTCATGGCAGCCACGCGGCTGAACAGCCTTCATCATGGGGGCCCGCTTTACTCCCAGGTTCTGGTGGTACGGGTATGCGGGTCAGTCTGTGGATATCACAACCTCACCTCACGGATCTCATTGAAACGCTGCGATGGTCGATGAGAAGGCGAGCCTCGTGTTTATTACCACCAGGGCGGACAACCAGTCACTGATAAACACCGTCGCTGCCAACATGCCGGGATAGGAGCTGGCGAATGGCGCTACCTAATTTCCCTGGATGCCGTCTCTCCCCGGATGCCGTCTGGCAGAACGACCAGTTTATAACGTAAATGAAGGGAGTAAAAAGAACTACTGGTCCGTGAAGCATTCGCTTTCTATGTCCCCTCGTACAGGGATAACTTCATCCAGAAGAGATGCGAAATGAATGCCCTAGGTGGAAGGAAAGACGAACTCCTCTAATAATTAGCAATGGGCACATTTGCGCATTGTTGTGGCATCAACATGGGTTTGACGCAGACGCAGGGCATTCCGTGCAGGCGACAACCACCAATGGATATTTTCAGAAACACGCGGAAGCAAACGAGTGCATCCGCACTGCCTGGCTTTGGATGATGCCTACCGTCACCAGACCAATAACTTCCGGATTCGAGCCTTGAACGTTTCGATAAGAGCACCCATGCCACTTTCGACCTGGAACGTCTACGTTGTAATTACGTCCATGTTAGGGATCATCGGCATATTCACTCCCGCGCTTGCTTTATCCTTCTGCGGTATTTTAGTTGTCGTGGTTTGGAAATGCCAGAGTTTTCAGAGGTTCTGTAGCATCGCATCTATTTCGTTTGTCATTTGCATTGACACGCATGGTATGAGGACGTCCAAGACAAGGTGCCAATGTACTTGGTATGCTGCACTTGGTCTCGCAAGTCTCGAAATCAGCGTTGCGAGACGGAGAAGCCCTGAGGGGAGGAGCCTTCGGTACATCTTCATATGATCCCCAGCCAGCCCCCCTAAGAAAACGAAGTACGGTACGAAGTACATAAGGTAGAATAAAGAAAGCCTGGAACCCCTGACAACTCCACTCCCTGACTATCTCATTTCCGGGAGTCCAACTACACGTGTAGAATACAACGTACTCGTCCACCGCTAGTTCATGTGTGTCTCCTACCTTACCTAATACCTACCGTTGTATGTCGATGTACTTAAAATCTGGTCGCCATGGTCGGCGCGTGGTCTGCAGACTTTTCTATGCCAACCGCACTAGAGACAATTTTCCTGTCGTCGTCCCATGTCAGATGCAAGATGCGTGTCGGGCGCCCACCTTCCACCAGACGGCCTCGGTAGTGGTAGTTTACCGATCCCCGATGCTCATTTTAGGGGCGTCAAGCGAGTCAGATTGGCGGCCCGTGGCAAGGAGCTTCGTGGGTTAGTCCGGTTGCCAAGAAATCCAGGAATCTGCACGTTCCAAGGAAAACTGGTATCGTGAGATAGCCCGAACCACATGACTCGTGGACCGCGGCCTACGACAGACAGTACGAAGTACTTGGCGGAATGCGCCGTTGAAATGGTGGGTGGTGTCGAGATTCGTAGTCCACGGAGCAATGTGGTTTGCGGATGTTCCTTCCACTTTCATCCCACGCCGGACCCGGATCAGTAAGAACATAGCCGCCAACTGACTAGGTACGGAGTAATATGTTACTGATACGTTGGCGATCGGATCGAATGGGCGCCGCACGATGAGCCGAAATCCTCATGGCATCAGAACGGTGGACCCTGTTTCCCGCGTCGGTTTGAAAATGCTTTGTACCTAGGTACGAACCACAATGTGCGCATGTTGTACCTGCCAACCGCATCCAGCTTTCTTGAGTACATATTCCCTTTAGGCATAGGTACATAAAAGTAGGGTGGTGCGAAATGACGTCTCAACTACCTATGTGATGTTCCCGGTACCCCTGTGTAATGATCACTTTGTACACAACTGTCAGGTTCGACTCAAAGCTGTGTATAACTGGCTACCTTATTCGTAAAAGTAGGTAGGTAAACGAGGAATACAAGACTCGGGAACAATAAGTGCTTACCTACACATTCTATAACGCAAGGCCTTGTTTAAAATTTTTAGACATACGACGTTGCACAACATGCCCTTCATTTGGGCTTTCAGTAAGTTGAGTTGTTCAACGATGGGAACACAACGCACAACGCACGTTGTACTACGACTCCTTGAATAGCATACCCCTCGATATCCCGACTAGAAGAGCCGACATAAATATATGCCAAGCCTGGCGACCGGTTCGCCTTTCCTCAGGGAGCAATTCCCGCCCATGGAGAAATTATTTGTTACGATCCAGGTTTTGGCACGGAGAAATACAACGTAGACGAAATCGGGCTTAGTCGTACATATACCCGGGGGACACGCTTTCATCTGACAACGGCGCGTATTCGCCCATTCCGTCACACGATGATGATGTCATATCCCAGCATTCTCGGTTGTCTCCGAAAATCTCCTTACATCGAATGCACAACGGTTGCAGTACTGTATTTCGCCAGAAGACGCGGTGAACGAGAGTACGAAATAGGCATTTCGTACGAATATGCGCACGAAGTACAGCATGGAAAAAAACCGCGAGGGACAGGGGAGCCTCCATCCGACCGAGTTAGACGCCAGGCGGTTTCGAGAGGTGATCGGGCCACCGGACTTGGCATCTTCCTCGGTCGTAGTTCGGAGGGGATCCCCTGCCTAAATGCCCAGTCATGTCTGAGATGGCACTGTTCCCGGCTGCTCCGAACGTCAGTCGTATACCGTGTGTAGGAGCCGAGCCTCCGCCAAGTACAACGTGACTGGGCACGCACAGGATGACCTACGTGGTTCTTGTGAACATGCCTAGGTGATAAATGAGCTTGAGCACGACAATACAGGAGGTGATTTGCTGGGACGAACTTTGCTGGACATCTTATATGGCCATAGCTTCATGTCGTGGACAAAAAAGCTTCCATGCGTGGGCCTTCTCGAAAGAATAAAATGGAGACCATGACCCCCAAAGTTTCCGCAAGAAGGGTTTGATGGACCCTCTCGCCAGACACGCCGACAAGCCCCTCCCCCCGCCAGGGACCGAGGATGCAGGGGATCTAGGGATGCTGAGCTAACTCCAACGCCAACGTCCCACCGCCACCGCGAGGGCGACGGTTGGTCTGTATGCAAGAAATGGGCGGGAGGGGGCCACAGCTTGCAGCGGTTCAACGCCACTGACAAACAGGGATATGCAACGTAAAAGGGGTGAGCGACTACGGAGTACGAAATACATACCTACAGCGTACTCCGGACAATGCTTACTCGGTGAAGACAGCAGCGTGTTTCGTTATTGAGCATGTATTGTCGTCACGATGTCCTGTGTACTTCGCTCAATAGATGGAGACGAATTCGCTGCTCGAGAATCCGTTCACCACAGAAAGGAGGTAAGGAATATATCTCTCTATGAATGTTTCTAGAATAGACAATTACATGCATCGATCTTTTTCTGTCGCAGGATGTGAAGCAAGGTAAAGCTAGCCGTTATACGGAGCATCTCCGTGCGATTTTTAAGAGTCGAGACATGTAACATCTCCTTCATACAAAGAGCGAAACGAAGGGATGTGGGAAAGGAATAAAGCGAGTACCTCCGCGGTGACCAGGGGCTGTCTAAGGTACATTCAACGTGCATACGTTGACTCGAGGGATGCTGCATACAATAAATATCATTTCATTTCCCGCCGACTTTCGTACATAATGAAATTATTATGAAAGTATAGGGTACATCAAGGTGGCGTCGGCAAGGTATCAAAAGGCTTGGCCACACCTCCGGCATGCATGTACACTACCTAAGGTACATGAACTGAACCGTGACGATGAACCACGTGTACATACAGATATCGTGGGGCGAACTTTGGGCGCGTGTTACAATAGGACTGGTGGCTTTCTTAATACTCGAGGGTGATAATAAACATCTACAAGGGGTTTAAAGGTTAGCGCGCGTATAAACATATATAACCGGTTAAGGATAGTAGGAGATCCTTATAGAGTAGAAGTATATCTTAATATATAAAACCTATTACTCTTTATAAGTACTTATACTTATCTAAGACTACTATATCTCGCTGCCCTCCCTACTATCACTACTATAACTACTATTACTTTACTATCACTATCTATTACTCTAGGTAGTTAATAAGGTAGTAATAGCTCTGGTTCCTAGACTAGTCCTATAATTATCTTTAAGATCGTTATATATCTTCATACTATCTATATAAAATAGGTGGAAAACTACGGATCGGGGCTAATCTAATCTTTAAATAGCATATAGGGCGAATTCACGAGCTAACCTTTAAAGCCCTAGAGGAGGTATACTTCGAAAGAGCGATAAGGACTACCTATAAGTACTTGTTCAAAGACAATGCCCGAGGATCGAGTTTGTTCTGTTCCAGAGGAAACGTCTCATCCAATAGATCTATCCTTTCTGGTAGACGTCATCCACAAAATACTCCGTATTTTAGTCAATGTATTGTCGACATTGTCAGATCAACACCAATACCCCGTTAGCATTACACCTTGTCTTCGTCAAGGGCGTTTGCCAAGCACGGTTCGTTGCCTATTTGATAGCATAGCAGGTGAGAATCGTCAATGTAGGTTGCTAGGTACCTGTATGTGGGGGAACCGGGGATAGGAGGACAAAATGTAACACATCAGGAGTGCGTATCCGTGCATTCGACCTGTCCCTCACCACCTTGTTTACTTCGGAGTCATTCGTTCCCCTGTTCCCATCCCTCGCGACTTGGAAGTTAATTACCAAGCTCCCAATTATTAGGTAGTCTGTGGTTTGGCATACCTACAACTACATCACTTTGAGATCATCCATACAAATCGGCTTGGCTGCTATTCCTATTCGACTGCTTGGTCAGCGTTCTCTTACGTGGCTCCTACAGACAACCCATTGTAACTCTTACTCGGCAGATGGTAAGCGAAGGATTGTCTGTTGCGGCTCGAAAGTTCCTTTTCAATTCACAAGCAAATGGCTAAATAATAGCACCTCAAACCAGATGTTACGAAGCTACGGACGGAATCTGAGGATGCTTGGGCACAAACGCGTACTTTGTACCTAGATAGGGGTGAACCGTCCCGAGCACAATTCTCATGCCCAGCAGCCCGAGAGCGACCTTAAGGAATTGGCCTTAATTGGCTCCTGCTCCTGTGATACCAAGATACTGGCCTAGCAGATCCGCTAATGAACCACGAAGTTAATCTCTGATTTGGGAAAGGACAGACAAGTCGTCTCCCTGAATGATGTACGAAGGAAGAACGAATCCATAACCCAAGTACAAATTCTGGGCTTTATTACCTTATAAACTCCAGAGTCGTATACATAAGGTACATACATTTAGCAAGTCCGTCCCGCAATGATGCTGGCCAGACGCGGCAGCGGCTTGTGGGGGTTCTTGATGTATTTTGCCCGCTCTTTTTGTGAGACGGGGACCTGCCATCCAAGTTCTGAGACTTCCTACCGCTCAAGAGCATGCAATGATTCATCGTCCTCAACAAGCAACTCCCTGCCCGAAGTGATATCTCAGGCCCATGGACCCATCTACATACATACAGCTGTGTATTGGCATACGGGAAGTGGGCACGATTCGGAGCCGCTACGCGAACTCGGCGGTCATAACAAAAACGAGTCAATGCCGAGGGGGCTGACAAACTTCCACAACAAATGTGTACACGTAGAACTACGCCCTTAGAAACATCCAATAGTGCTCTTCTCTTGAACCGATATTATAATGAACTGGGGCATTGAGGGAGCCCAACTGTGTGTAGGGATTAATAATTATTCGTAAAATACACCGTAACGAGAATATATAATATAAGGTAGGTTAGGAAGATCGCCTCCGGCGCCAAAACGAAATTTCATCTTATAATTTTACGGACTAAGATTACAGGTGAGCTGCACATGACAGAAGGACGCCATTTAAGCCGGTGAACACGACTCGTGTGTTTCGGACTAGGTACCGTTTTAAGAAGGTACACGAGTACGTTCTTTTTACTGGCTGATTCAGATTACCCGCGCGTGGCGGTAACAGGACAGACTGAGTGGTAAGGACCTACGAAGTACGAAATAATTAGTATATGTATTTGTTTAATCTGTATTTGCTTATACGGCCTTCTGCTCTGCTGGAATGACAAGCAACAAGTGTCTAGAACAAGACTTCATCATGCCGTCGCTAATATCATAAGGGCCCCTATCACAACCTGGGATAGAATATAACACCGGCGTAAATCGATACATACGACTTAACTATAACGTACGACCTGAGCTACTTACCGACATATGTACCTGCCCAAGCAGTCTAGGAAGGCGGTAATGGTATGATACTCTAATGAGCGAACTGACCGTTATCCCCTAAGATCTAATAGGAAGGTTAGGTTATACTAAGGAAAACGGCAGCAATACGATATCCATTTCATTCAGTTATTAAGGGAATAGGAGGGAAGAAAACCATCACCGCTTTTGCTTTTATACCTAATAATAAAGGCATGGAGTACCTAATAGTATCTAATACAGTACCTAATAAAGAACAAGATATGTATTTTCTTTGAATGTGTTTCGAATAGTACCTACCTTAGGTACCTTAGTAATAAGGAAAGAAATAGGTATCCTTGAGTAGAAGTTACCTGGTTTCAAGTAGAAGTTACCTGGTTTCAAACGGTACCTATTTCCCTCGGGGATCACGCTCTCTAGTGTCTCCCTCTTCCTAAGGTACCTAATCTCCCTCCCTCTCTCCCTCGCAGCTTATTACCTTAGTATTCCTATCCCTCCTTATCTTCTGTTCTGCCCTCACAACCTCTGCTGTCTAGCATATATCCGCCTCGGGCGAAAAGCCAAGCTATATTCCCGCCATCACTTATCTCCGATCTGACTCGTTTATAGGTGACAATAACTTTTAGATCAGGATAGGTAAATTCCTCCACTTCTACCCGGTGCGAACCCAACAACACACACCACATAGTAAAAAGAACAAAGGAAGGAAGCAACAACGTTGTAATTAACCGGGACTTGGACGGAAAGGCAAGAACTGCCATCGCATCTTCCTAGGCCGGCATCCAACTTTGGATTGAAAGCGGCTGTTCCGAAAAAAATTCTTCATTTTTTCCCTTTATCTCTACCCGCCATAACACACTCATACACACCTGCGCTATTCCACTCCTGGAATTTTCTTGGTGCCGGCATCGGCACCAAATCCCAGAAAGTATCCTCTACCTTCCATTTGAGCGAACTCTGGTACAAACATAAGGAGTCAGTCTTGAACCTTGTCACTATCAAGGTCACTAACGCACGAGCTGACTTGCGTGCACCATAAGTAGGCCACGGTCTCCACTCCTTCCTGCCCCCTCCACTTTGTCCCTTTACCTCCACCCGCTACCCACCGAACCCGACCCCCCAAAAAAATTTCGGATCTCGACTCCAAAACGGTTTCTTTGCGCACGACGCATTTTCATCGCTGCTTGGTATCCTTCTTTCTACTCGACTGATTCTGATCCTACATACTCAGCTCTTTAGTTGAGTTCCTTCCTCTAACTGCACCGCATCTGGCATTTCCCCTCCTTTTTTTCTTCTTTTTTATCTTCTTCTCCGTCAAACAAGGACACGCCCTCGTCGTTCCTGAAAGGTCGCTGCCATCTCCAAAGAAGCAAGAAAAGGCAAAACATCTAAAAAGGATCCCCAGCCCCATTCTGCTCCACTCCAACCCTCCAAGAAAAAAAAAACCTTGACCAAACGGGATCAAAGTTGGAGCTCACCCACAAAAGCCCACTTGCTCTCCAACACCAAAGCAAAACATCCCGCACACACGCGTCGTACATCCATCTGATACGCCCTTCCCGCTCAGATCGGACTCGACTACACGGGCACTTGTCGCTGCGTGCTTGTGTCCCCATCCCCCCCCCCCCCCCCCCCCCCCCCTCCCCCAATTCAAGGATATCGGGACTTCGACTGGTCTTTATTCTTGCTCCACGCGACCTGATTGCATTCATCCATCCCACTTTGGAGCTCCATCGCCAGACGGTAACCGAGTCCACCCAGGAACGCGTTTTACCTCTTACCTCGCCATTCCCAGACATCTAGCATTGACTAGGAAAACTTCCGAGAAAATATGGACGCGTCACAGTACCCGACCAATGGGTTAAACTCGAATACACAATCGTACCCATCTCCACCTTCTGGAATTACGCCTCATCAACTTTCTCAACATAACTCGCAACAAAACTCTCCTATTCCCCAAAACCACGCTCTGCCACCTTTGCAGCCCCAGTCGGCCGCCATGAATCAAATGTATGGCAGCAACCCGCACACGCCCCGCACGCCGGCGACGCCCAATACGCCCAACTCTAACGGGGGTAACAACCCGGCGGGCATGGCGAACTATGCTACCACGGGCCCTCAAGGTGGCCGCGGTACGACGTACCAAATGCCTGGCAACTACGCCCCGCAACCTCAGGGTTATCCTACCACCTCCGGCATGATCTCTCAGGCGACATTGGCGCCCTCTCACCCTCAGCCCATCGCACCCGCTCCTGCTGGAGCTCGGGTCCCCCCCAACCTCCGTCCGATGCCGCCAGGGGGTGTTATGCCCCAGCCCGGCGTCCAATCTCCTTACGGACCCGGTCCTATGATGCAACAACCTCTCCCGGATGGTGACCAGCCCACCCACGTTGTCGGCTCCCAAGGTCGCCGCGGTATTCTGCCGAGTGCCCCCGGTCGTCCTGCTGCCCCTCAAGCCGGCACTGGAGCAGCGAAGAATACTGTTATCCCCGTCAAGGATGCGGACGGCAAGTTCCCTTGCCCTCACTGCACCAAGACGTATCTGCATGCGAAGCACCTGAAGCGGCACCTGCTGCGACGTGAGTATTTGCCCTTGAATATCACGCGGTTATCCCGCCGTCTGAATGGTCTTTGCGGCTAACTGTGACGCGTTTAGACACCGGCGACCGCCCCTACATGTGTGTTTTGTGTCGTGATACGTTCTCGCGAAGTGATATCCTTAAGCGTCACTTCCAGAAGTGCTCCATTCGTCGTGGTAACCCTACCGGTGCCAGCCACCTGTCGCATCCGCAGGCCCATGTCAAGAAGAATGCTGCCGCTCAGCAGAAAGCTGCGCTCGGTCAGGAGGGCGGTGATCTCAATCACCTTAACACCCTGAACAACATGCCCACGGATGGCATGGTCCAGCCCTTTGGCATGATGCCACAAGTCGCCGACGGCATGAACAATATGCAAAACGACCAAAACCAAATGTCACGATCCAGCAGTCTTGCCCGACTGGACAATGGCAACAACCAGGATAGACGCGGTATGCCAGGATCTGTCATGGGAACGAACGGTCGGGGTGGCAACTTTGAGCAGGCGCCGTATAACGGAGACGTCAACAATACCATGCCGTCCAACATGAACCAGCAGATGCCCAACTACAACATGCCTCCGAACCAGAACCCCATGCCCATGTATGGCAACTCTAACCCGAACCAACAGTCGGGTCTTGACTGGGGCCAGATGTTCCCTTCGGGTAGGCAAACCCCCTTTATCCGAAATCCTTCATGCTTCTTCTCACTAACGGCATTCAGACGCAGATCGCAACCCAGCAAGAGCCTAATCTCCGATGCCCACAGAACCCAGGGGAACCCCGCTGCTAACCGATGAATTTGTCGTGTACACGATACTATCGCTGGCAGCCAAGTCTCTTCTCCGACTGCAGATTCGTCACTGTGGGGCTTCTCCTCCGCGGGAAGAAGTATGGCTTTGTCCGCGAGACATGCCATGTTTCGCGCATGACATCATATCACAGCGAGGACTCCCTGGTGAAGTACCAGCATACCCGCTCTTGTATCTCTTCATTTGGCGTTCATCTGCCATTGGACGATACTTTGGGTCATTGGTACAGTCGTCTTGAACCTCTCTTTGATGTTTGGATTGCCTGTACTCCGGGGCAGTTGTGCAGGAGACGATAAGGACTGGTGGTTGTCTTATGCGAGTGCTCCATTCAAATACTTCACATCGGTGCTTACATCGAGAGATGACATTTTCGTTATTCCGGTGGGAACGGAAGTCTGCGGACTATTGGAATGAAGGGTCTCCTGGTACATATCGATCGTCACGAATATCCTTCCTCTCGACTGGATGCTGCAGTTTCTACAGAGCCAGTGGGACCCAGTGGGTGTGCTGTTACGAATTTCGTCTGGTAACAACAACTTGCATGGGGGAGGGCATCCGATATTGGTTCTCTGAAGATATCACTTGGCTTTCGGTGCTTCGCATCAGTCTTTGGCGAGTCGCTGCAGTTTTCTCCAAGGTGGATGGATACTTCAACCCTCGAACCCATTCTTTGGGACAGCATAAGCCGTGCAGACCACCTCCGACAGTTAAGGGAAGGAAACACGGGGAACACCTAGGTTCATAGCGGCATCGGCGCAGGGCGGTACATTTCGATCAAGGGCATGGTTCACGTATGTGCATGTTGATGGCGTTACTTTTTTCTGCTCATTTTGTGTTTTGTCTTCTTGACTTCTCTATTTGTTATTGCTTTACACACTTCCCCCTCTTCCCGATGTGGCATTTTATTTCCTTTTGATCCGTGTGCCTGGCTGGTCCTTGACCAGTAATGGCGACGCGGCTGGAGTCAACTGCCATACATCAAAAAAAGAAAAGCCGGATTCGCGGTGGGTTGTTCTGATGTGCATTTCCCCGAGGATGATCCCTATGCAATAACCATAGAGCGGGTGTGGAGTTGGCTGCATTAGACTTTGATCAGATAGAGACGGAAATGAGCCGGTGGACGGCTGTGACGGAGGGTCTGGGTAAACGATCATGACGCTAGGAAATATTTCGCATTATGCTACTTGGACGCGTCTCTATACCACCAGATTGGCCTTTTAGGGCCTTGTATAGGAAATTTAAATCGGTGCCTGTAGCATGGCGTAGCCTTTTACATCTATTTCTCTTTGCTCTTGTTATCTCAAATGCCTCCTATCCCGACGTTGACATAGCCAGGGCAATATATTACAGTGCAACAATGTCAGGATAAATTTCGGGATGTACTGTGAATCGACAATCAGCATGTTCATTCTACTCTCACGCTGACATTGTAGAGCCTGATAGTCTTGTTCCTTGTTTGGATAGGACATATGTAGTATATATTATATATATATAGAGAGAGAGAGAGAGAGAGAGAGAGAGACAGGTAAGTAACTGGGAGGCGAGAATACGATAAAGACGCGCTGAGTATATACAACGGATTTTCTTGTTTGTTTGTTTGTTTGATTTATTAGAAGTGTGCTAAGAAGCTAACTAGGCTGCATCTCCGTTGCCATCCGAAGAAGCCGAGACTTTGTATAAGAGTAAATTGTTTCTTGTCCGGCGTCTTCAGCGTCCGCCCTCAGGCCTGTCCACGACGGAGATGCGCGGGATGAGGCGCTCCACGACGGCCTTGTCCTCTTCGGGGGGCTGGTACTTCTCCTCTGCGCGGTCGGAGAGCCAAAGGCCGACGGCACCCCAGCCGGTGATGCCGAGGCCGACGGTGATGCGGGCTTTGGGGGAGAGGTTCTTGTAGGCTCTGTCGTGATGGTGAAATGCGTGTGGTTGAGCGGTGGTCAGGGACTTTTTTCTTCTTTTCTTTCAACACGGTAAGGGGTGGGTGGTGTAAAGGATTATCATTGTTGTTTGCGAGGAGTGAGGAAGGGGATATAGTACCTGAACATGTTCCCCGATCAACTCGTGTCGAGTGGTGCGTGAGAAGTGATCGCCGGAGGGATACCGAGAGCAGGGAGACAGGATCACGCCAATGGAGTTTCCAATGGGGTTTCAATCACGATAGCCGGATATGGAGAACGACTCCGGATCGTTGGCCGGCGATGACGGGATACAATGGATAGCTCGGGTGAGGTGGTGAGTGAGAGTACTCCGTAGCTTAATCGGAAGGGAGGGTGAAGTTGAGCTAAACTGAGGAGGTGGTTAGTAAGACACGACTTTCACTCTTCTGTTAATATGAAGGAGACGGCTACTACCGGAGAAATAGCCTTGAAGGGGGGGGGATAGTGGAGTGGTATACCACCTGGACTAACCTCTTTTCTAATCCCTAAGAGGTCGTAGGTTCGAATCCTGCTCCCCCCTAACCTATTTTCGGATAGGTACGTACCTCAGGCAAAGGGGGCTGGTAGTGGCCCCTAAACCCCTGCTAAGTAGATAACCGATAGCCTGGGCACCTATCCTTATCGAGACAGCAGAATAGCCTAAAAAGGAAGGGGATTCCTTACTAAGCTACCACCGGCATAGGGTTATCATAAAGGGGGGAAAAAGGGTATAGGGGGCTAACCGGGTGCTCTTAGGTTTTTATCCGTAAGGTTTTTCCTAGGAGGAGATTTACTGAAGTGAAGGGGTTAGCGTATATGGCATTTCTTAGTAAATACTACTACGCACTTTCCCTATCCCGAAAGTGGTAGTAGCGTGTCTTATACCTAGTTTGTACCTTTCGGTACCTCCGAATAGTCTGTTATAACTTTAGGGTTGTATACGGACTTTAATAACCCTGAATTAAAAAAAAAAAAAAAAAAAAAAAAAAAAAGCCTTAAAGGGCGGTTCGGCGAGTGCTCCCGAACACAAATTAGGACAACTGATACGATAGGCAGCTGAAGGTCTTGATCTCGGTTATGAGAGATTCTTTCCTCTTGTTTGGGATATATTATTAGCGCTCCGTTAAGGTAATAAGAATATACTACAATACAGTCTTATAGGGTATAATGATTTAACTAATAAGGCGGTAAGATATAAATCCGTATATACTCGCCGCTTAGGAAGTAACTAAACTCGAATTATATATATAAGTATATACGAATAGATAGTAAGGATATAAGGCGTGAGTTTCTTTGTAATTGGATTTAATATATCAGAGTATAAATAAGGTACGCGGAATTATATATATATTTATCTAAGTAAAGTTCGTGGTACTTTACGGGGATATCTAACTATTCGGAAAATATAGGGAAATAAGTATAGATATATAGGAAAAAGGTACCCTATACGTCTACCATAGTATCACACCTCGATACGGTGGCTGTGGGTATCTGATATAATAAGAGTCCAATGATCGTTCGTTCACTAACTAATACGGGGCATGCAGAGGACCTTTATCTCGGGTGTTTCCTCTGTAAAGGCTGGGTATGATTTTTGAAGAATACGAAGCACGGGAGTCTAACAGAAGGGCCGCAGGGAAAGATGGACCCGGCTTCTTCGCTGACGTGGGCCCCAGAATCAGTGGTTTCAAGGGGCATCGCAGCTCATCGTCGCTATGCGTGCGTTAATGGCGACGAAGGAGCGAGGCCCAAGTCTTGGCGTTGAGGTCCAACTTACAAGTTGCCGCCAAGTCTTCCCTTTTTCATATTCTTACGTGCATCTCAATCTCACGTTCAGAAGGCGAACAGCGAGCAAGTTGAACATTATAGGTGGTACGGACCCGTTTGCGGGGGAGAACCATTATTAACCTCACTGCTGGAACCTCTTACTTTGTGACTTGTGCGGAGTAATTACCTACAGCGACGGGGGTCATCACGGACCACATCTATCCGTAGTTCAAGCATCTTAGCACAGACAGTCAGGGGACGGCGAAGAGGAGAAAAGTACATGGATGTAAGAGGCAAGGGCATGAAGTATTCCTGAAGTACTACTGACCGACTACCTTACGGACTACGGAGAGAAGAAATAAGAAATACGAATTATTACTTCGTCTTTCCTTCTCTCCCCGGATCGCACCTTCATTCTGCGCATCCTTGCTTTTTTCTTCTTCTTTTTTTCTTCTTCTATGGGCATGGTGATGTCTTCTGAGTGTCACACCCACACATCACTGATGTCTTAATCAGCCTCGGTCAAGTCACCACATCTCACTCTTTCCCACCACCTTTGCTCATCATTGCCATTGCCTATCTACTACAGCTTCACCTCTTCTCACCTCCCAACCCCTACCCTCGACGTCAGTTTCGACTCGAAGAAAAAGACCGCCTTTGACCTGCTGACGTCCCCGATCATATCGTCTTCATCAGTGTCAGTCCATCCATCATGGCTCTCCCGTACGAACTTGTGGATCTCATCTTCTCCCATGTCGACTCGCCTGCCGATATGAAGAGCCTCCGTCTTGCGTGCTATGCCTACTCCCGTATCGGTCTTCCGCACATTTTCAGCCCTCATTTCAAGTGTCTTCCCTGGAGGAATGATGTCTGGCGCCTGTGGCACATTTCCGCTCACCCTCACCTCCGCCACCTTATCAAGACAGTCACATTCAACCTCTCCGACTTGGACGAGGACGACGCCCGTCGTTCTTGCTTCTTTGATCACTGGGCCACGGAACCGGAGGACCGCGACATGGTCCTCCTGCAGAGCGCCTGGGTCGAGTTTCACGTGAACAAGGCGTCCCGCATTGCCACGCCCAAACTCGAGTCCCAAGGCAAGCTCTTAGCCGCTACACTCGGCGACCTCCCTTGCCTGGAGAGTGTCAAGATTGCCTACAACGAGTGCCCCTACGAGGGGCGCGTCCTGGCCCGCACCTTCGAACGCCTCGAGGCCCGGAAGTTGGTCATACCGCAGGCCACCCGGACCTTCGAAGTCCTAGGCCGCGCCTTGTCTCGCTGCCGGAATCTCCGCAGCGTCACCATCGACCGCTTCCCCGTCGCCATGGCCTGGACCAGCGAACCCGCCCTGAAAGAGCTGCTCCCCTGGACCCAGACCCAGCGCGCCGAGAATAACAACAACTGGGCCGCCTTCGCCCGCTCTCTCGACCGGCGCCTCGCGCGGCTGACCATCTCGCTGGACTGCACTTCCTCCACCCGGGTCCTCCCGGCCGCCGCCCGCTTCTGCGACGACGCCGTCCGCGCCGCCGCCGCCCTGGTGACCTGCAGCGCCGCCAGCCTCACGCACCTGGCCATCACGAAGCATTCGTACGACGAAGCCGACTTGGACTCGGACAACACCGCCAACGACCTGCTCAACAACCCCCTCTTCCGGACCTACTACCCGCGCCTCGCCGATCTCGAGCTCCAGGGGTTCGTCGTGGGCTGTGACGAACTGTTGGCGTTCCTGGGCGAACATGCGGCCACCTTGCGCCGTCTGAGCCTGGGCGGACAGGGTCCCACGGACGCCGGCGGCGATTCGGCGTCGATATCGGAAGCGGGGCTTACCCTGCGGTTCGGCACGTGGAGAGAATTCTTCACCGGGCTGCGAGGCTTGTTGCCGAATCTGGAGAGCCTGCGCTTTCGGGGTTTCTTCACACAGTCGCAACCATCCTCCACCGGCGTCGGAGGCCCTGGCGGTGGCGGGTTTTCTGGCGAGACGTACTACTTGACACCGCTTGGCGATTTCGCAGACGACCTTGTTGGTGAGCTGGAGGGTCTGGAGTGGGGGTTCAATGTCCCTCTGGTCAGGATTCTCGATGGCGCCGTCTTTGAGCGCTTCGTGCTAGAGGGTGGTGAATATCCGGGCACATGAAACGGCTTTTCTGGGGCCTGAAACTTGTGTGTTGTCCGAGGCAAGCCTGTCTTCAGAGGGAAGCCAGAGAACTCGCGGTTCTCGAATGCCAGTTCCGGGACAACCTTTTGTCTCGTCCGCATAGTATGCGCAAAACAACGGTCTCCCAAGCCGAAAACTGCTTGGCACGTGGCACCTAAACTAGTAACCGACGCTCGAGAGAAGCACATGCGAAAGGGATCATCGCCGTTGGCACCCGGTCCATGCATCACACCAGCAACTACCCCACAACCGCATGCGAACAGAAACGCGTTGGTGTGCTTGGTATCAAATTCCATATCACGCCCCAAGAGATGTTGCAGTCTTATTTATGCCACACAACAGACCCACTGAACAACCGCTGAGCGTGTGCCTTGATCACCGTGTCGGCAGATCTGTTCGAGTCCTGAGTTATCGAGCCGCAAATTGCTTTGGGCGATTGCAGGCTCGTGAAGACGCTGGCTGGAACAGCATATGAGAGACATATGACAGTGTGGTATGAGTGGCCTTGATTTCATCATGCCCATGCATCTCACGTCATGTGGTCGATCTACCAGAGAGGCATGTGGTGTGTCTATAATGTTAGACTGTTTCCTCCTCCTCTTACCGTACATACATCCGTTGATGAATAGTCGGGACGTGTTATTCTACACCGGGAGCGACAGGCGATGGTGGATGGGGAGGTCTTTATGCTGATATGTTGGACCTCTTGCACCAAGGCCTCCTTTGTGTATAGGTATATTGGGATCAAAGGCACATTAACGAGGAATCACGGCGAGTTTGGAAACCTACAAAACGCAAAGATGAGGACAGGAAAAGAGAAATAATAGAATTCATCCGACGGCCATCTAAGGTACTCAGTATCATCAGACCATCCCCAAGCCAGCCACACCTTTACTATGCGTTTCGTTTTGGGATCCTCTACGGGACCTTTCCCGAACCAACCAAACACGCGAGGGAAGACCAAGAAGAAAGCCGATCCGATCGATGCCCCAGGAAAACCCCCAGTAGAGGTTAAAAGGAAAAAAGTACAGGCGAGGAACGATAAAAGTGTCGAAGAAGCAAAAGCGAAGTGAGAAGTACAGGGAAAATAAAAGCGAGAACGGCGCTGTACGCTGCAGTTGGCACTTTGGTCGTGGTTTCTTGTCACCAGCGATTACCCCGTTGCGCAAACAACCCAACCCCC